AAGCGGAAGTCCTGCCACCCGGCAGCCTGCAGTTGGAGCTCTTGGATAAGTCCGCTGTTGTTGGGAGCCGGGGAAGAACCCTGAGATACACATTCGAGCTGGCCGGACCGCCGCACATGAGTCTGTTTATACGACCGCTGGCGGGGGTCGTTATCGATGACTGGTCCTTCATCAGAAACATGCTGGACGAGCCGGAGAAGTACTCGGCGCCATATCAAATCTACTTCTCGCACGGCACGGCTGGTGCGCCCATAACGTTTCACATTGACTTTGCGGTGCGTAGAAACATATTTATAATGTTGAATGGCAGCGAGTCATAAACGTTTTCGATTGCAGACATCCGTCGCCGATGCACCGGTCTTCGAGCTGGGAGTGGCGGGACACTTTGTGAGCTCCGATTACCCGCGGGACGCAGACAGCCTCAAGTTCGTGGCGGAGTTCCCAGACTTTGTGCATGTTATGGAGTGGCCGGCGTTGTTCAAGCGATATATATTCTGAAATCTTGCAGATCAGATCTTTATTGGGACGTAGATACTAGATTATTTATTATTTATTATTTACTGTGTCTTCCCCCAGACTCAGATAAGAATTATTGCGCCACGAGCGTCACTTCCATTGGACTTACGAGCCAATCGATGGGATAATGACTAAGCGGATAATCGCTGCTCTCGTGTCACGGAATCTCTTCTGCGGCTATTGTGAAGTCGGGCCGTAAACTTCCTCCAATTAAGATATCCCGAACGGGCACATGCCCACGACAGTCTTGAGACAGAATAGCCACCAGAGTAGGCAGCAGACCCATATATATTCAGAGCAATACACCACCGTCGAGCGACTCTATCTTTATGGCCTTTATTTTGGGGGTGAGCTTCAAGCCGTTCTGGCCACGGTTCAGACGTTCAGACGTTCAGTTAATCGACGGCCGGACGTCGAAAGGGTTTACTCGACTTGGCGCCCCTCAGAGATCTCTATCTGCATAAGTAATGAACAGAAAGACTGATAAAGTAAGTATTGGGCAGGACAGCTCCTCCGACACTGCGCTCATCGAGGTGCTGTCGGGTCCAACCGGAAGTAGACGCAAACGCCGGCTGTCCTGGTACTATGCGCCCTCCTTTCTGCTCCTCTGGGTGGCGCTCTTCTATGCCATCGTGCTGCCGCTCTACAATCGACTGCCCGAGCGGCTGACCGTGGCCGATGAGGCCCTGAAGCCGGGACAATTTGTCGCGGAGCGAGCACAGCGACAGCTCCTCGACTTTGATCGCATCGGACCCAAAGTGGTCGGCAGCATAGCCAACGAAGTGACAACTGTCGCCTTTCTGGTGAACGAAGCGGAAAAGATCCGTGCCCAAATGCGCAGCGATCTCTACGAGCTGGAGGTGGATGTGCAGGCACCCTCCGGCGGCTACGTGTTCGTCGACATGGTCAACATGTACCAGGGCATACAGAATGTGATCGTCAAACTGAGCGCAAAGAGCTCCCAGAGCGAGTCCTATCTGCTGCTCAACAGCCACTTTGACTCGAAGCCCAGCAGTCCGGGTAAGTGATTCGATTCTGTTTCCATAAAAGTGATCTTCCAAGGGGTGAATGGCAACAGGTTCCGGCGATGATGGCACCATGGTGGTGGTCATGCTGGAGGTGCTGCGTCAAATGGCCATCTCGGAGACGCCCTTCGAGCATTCGATTGTCTTTCTGTTCAACGGCGCCGAGGAGAACCCGCTGCAGGGCTCCCACGGCTTCATCACCCAACACAAGTGGGCGCAGAACGTCAAGTGAGAACAGTTCGATAGAAGCAAAGACAAAGCATCTTCAATGAGTCGTTTATCCGCTTTCAGGGCTTTCATCAATCTGGAAGTGGGCGGCAGTGGGGGCAGGGAGCTGCTCTTCCAGAGCGGTCCCAACAATCCCTGGCTAATGAAGGTGAGTCTATAATATATTTCCCAATAATTATTGTGGCGGCTTATGGCAGGCCACAAAAGTTAACAACAAAAGTTGGAGCCGATTTTATTGCCCTATTTTATGGCCAATTCGTGAATTGTCGGAACGTTGAAAGGTTTGCTTCTTCTCCTTCTCCGCAGTACTACAGGCAGCATGCCTTGCACCCATTTGCGACCACCATGGCGGAGGAGATCTTCCAAAGTGGAATTCTACCCTCCGACTCCGATTTCCGCATATTCCGTGACTATGGAAATGTTCCCGGTGAGTAACCAGAAAGCCACAATCTCTGAGTAATTATTAATTGCGATCCATGCAGGCCTCGACATTGCCCAAGTGAGCAATGGCTACGTGTACCACACGGTCTTCGACACCTTCGAGGCCGTTCCTGGAGGATCCGTGCAGAACACTGGCGAAAATATCCTGGCCCTGGTGCGCGCCTACACCAACGCCACGGAGTTGCACAACCCAGAGGTGGGTTAGAACTGAACTGAATCTATGGGTCCCCGATATCCACTGCTTTATCTACAGGAACACGACGAAGGACACGCCGTCTTCTTTGACTTTTTGGGTCTCTTTTTTGTGTACTACACGGAGACGACGGGCATAATCCTCAACTGCGTCATTGCCGTGTTCAGTCTGGTGCTGGTGGGAGTCTCCTTGTGGAGAATGGCTCGCCTTTCCGAGCTGACAGCTGGCCAGATATCCCTTTGGTTCGCCATCATTCTGGGTCTCCATGTGGTGGGATTCCTGCTCTGCCTGGGCCTGCCCCTGCTCATGGCTGTGATGTTCGATGCTGGCGATCGATCTTTGACTTACTTCAGCAACAACTGGCTGGTGCTTGGCCTGTACGTCTGTCCGGCAGTCATTGGTCTGGTGCTTCCCCTGACTCTCTACTACACACTGAAGCCAAATGTAAGGCAGTAATTAATTGAATTTATGAAGATTTAAGTACCAAGATGAATGTATTGCAGGCACAGCTGAGTCACTCGTACCATCTGCACATCAGTTTGCACGCTCATTGCGTGATCCTGGCCATCTTGGCCATTGTCCTTACGGCTGTTAGCCTGCGCACTCCATACCTTTGCCTGCTGTCGATGATATTCTACTCTGCTGCGCTCCTCATTAACCTGCTGAGCACCCTGCATGAGCGTGGTAAGTGTTGATCGATGAACTATCCATAGAGCATTGACTTATGACATGATTCTTCAGGCTACTACTGGGTCATTACCGTGCAGGTGCTGCAGCTGCTGCCGTTCTGCTACTTTTGCTATCTGTTCTACATGTTCCTCGTGATATTCTTTCCCGTGCTGGGCCGCAATAACAGCGGCACAAACCCGGACCTGATCATTGCTCTCTTCTGTGCTTTGTGCACCTTCTTTGCCCTGGGCTTTGTGGCACAATTTATCAACATGTTCCGCTGGCCCAAGCTCATCTTGCTCGGCCTGGGCGTGGTCACCTTCATATTCTGCATGATTGCCGTCTCGGAGGTTGGCTTTCCGTACCGCCCCAAGACCAATGTGATGCGGGTGAACTTTCTGGTACGTAGCGGCAGATCCAGACTTATGTATCTCCAGGCTAAGCTGATCTTCTGATTTACAGCACACACGCCGCATCTTCTATGAGTTTGATGGCTCGGTGAGTCACAGCGATTCTGGCTATTACTTTGACTATCAGGACAGGAGAGAGCTGAACCCGCTGAAGGACTCCCCCACCGTCAACCTGACCGGTTTGGTGCGCGTGGAGCCCGACTGCGACAAGTACGTGATGTGCGGCATTCCGTGCTTCTACTACAGCTGGTGCAGTCAGCGCACGCGGGCAGGCTGGCTGCCCCGCGAGACCGAGGTGGTTATGCCCGGCGTGGAGCTCAAGTTTGAGCTGCTGGGCAGGACAGTCTCCGAGGCGAATCGAACGATACGCTTCGACTACGAGCTGTCGGGGCCGCCGCACATGAATGTGTTTGTCCAGCCACTGGGCGGGGCAAAGGTGGAGGACTGGTCCTTTGTCAGAACGATGCTGGACGAGCCGGAAAAGTTCTCGGCTCCGTACCAGATATTCTTCTCCTACGGAAAGGATGATTCGCCGTTGCAATTTCACATCGAATTATCGGTGGGTGAACACTTCCTGCCTTAAAGACGATCAAAAAAGATTTCCAATTGAATTTATTTGCAGAAATCCGATGGAGATTTCGTTGGTCCCAGCCTCGAGCTGGGAATTGTGGGGCATTACGTGAGCTACGACTATGAGCGGGATCCAGAGGCTCGGCAGTTCATCAAAGACTTTCCCGACTATGTCCACGTCATGGAGTGGCCGTCGATATTTAAGCGTTACATATACTAGAGTTAGCTAGAACTATAAGTGTGATTATCCATTACCCATTAACCATTAACCCTGGAAACATATCAAAATAAATGGCGATGCGAGCCATAACCTGCCTGAAAAAAGTGCTGCCTTTTTCTTATCGAGATTGTTGAAGTTTCTGCTGCTGATTATATCTTATCTTTATATCCCATTTGATTTAGAGTGTTTAAAACCGATAAATGCATACGTGTACACCCGCCAGAAAGGTGTTCCACAACATAAATCAATGAGTTCGACTTTAGCCTGTGGAAGATTATAAAATTCACTCGCTCGTGCGCCAGTTGGCCATAAATGTGCGGTACTCAGCCTTGCAAATCAGATATGATAAACAAGAACAGAGCCTCGAGAGTTCGTTTGAGTTTGGTGGAAAACTTACCTCAAGCTTGGCAGCTTCGTTATCTGCCACACGCTTCATTAGGTTATCTTTATATCACATTTGATTTAAGGTCCATAAAACCGATAAGTGTACAGAAACCGCCAGAAACCCGCAGACTTTCACTCGATAAGGTCGGGTATATCGCGATGCTATGCAATGAATCGATAAATCAATAACTTCACCTTATTAAGATTGAACTCTGGCGCGACTTTGGCCCTCAATGGATGATAAAAGACTCGTAAATCTAGTTGGCAAGGCAGGCATCTCGACTGCATATCCAAACTGATAAAAGAGAACACTGCCAAGAAGTTCGCTCAGTCGTGCGCCCTTTTTTGCCGTGATTCAGTCTAGATGGGAGCGGATAACACTACGGAGTACCCCGACTCGGACACGAGAATCGACTTGAGGGTGAAGGATGGCACAGCCAAGCAGCTGCCCTGGTACTATGGGCCGGTGTATCTGCTCTTCTGGGTGGGCTTGTTCTTCGCCGTCGTCTATCCTCTGTTCAATTACCTGCCCACGGGGGTCAAGGTGGAGGAGGAGTCCGCCAAGGCGGGCACATTTGTGGCACAGCGGGCGGAGAGCATTCTGCTAAAAATCGATCTGATGGGTCCCAAAATCGCCGGCGATTACGTGACCGAGGTGCTCATGGTTCAGTTTCTGCTCGAAGAGATAGAAAAGGTGCGTCGGGAGATGCGACAGGATCTCTATGATCTGGAGGTGGATGTGCAGCGAGCCGAGGGCGCCTTTCTGCACTGGCAAATGATAAACATGTATCAGGGCATCCAGAATGTGGTCGTCAAGCTGAGTGCCAAGAGCTCCAACAGCACGTCCTACCTGCTGGTGAACAGCCACTACGATTCCAAGCCCAGCAGTGTGGGTAAGTCCGTTGAGTCCGCTCCTTGAATCCCTCGTTTGTTGACGCTTTTATCCTGCAGGCACTGGCGACGCTGAGTTCATGGTGGTGGCCATGCTGGAGGTGCTGCGCCTGATGGCCATTTCCGACGATCCCTTCCTCCATCCCATTGTCTTTCTCTTCAACGGCGCCGAGGAGCAGCCCTTCCATGGCTCCCACGGCTTCATCTCGCAGCACAAGTGGGCCGCCAACTGCAAGTAGGTAGCATCCATGGACCCCACGACCAGACCCCACTACAACACGATTTTCGTACCCCCCCTTAGGGCACTCATCAACTTGGACTCTGCTGGGTGTGGCGGTCGCGAAATTCTCTTCCAGGGGGGTCCCAACCACCCGTGGCTGATGAAGGCAAGTCGATATCTTGAGAAATAATATCTAAATTGTTGCCTGCCTTTTATCTTATCGGGGGGGTTTATCGCTTCTTTATTGCAGCATTACAAACAGAGCGCCAAGCATCCGTTTGCCACCACCATGGCGGAGGAGATCTTCCAGGCGGATCTCATACCCTCCGATACAGACTTCCGCATCTTCCATAACTTTGGACCGGTGCCAGGTGGGTTGCTGATTGAAAGACTAACCAAAGACTGAGTGTAACCGTTTTCAGGTCTGGATATGGCGGGTTGCTACAATGGATTTGTCTACCACACGAAGTTCGATCGCTTCAGCTGTGTGTCCAGAGACGCGCTGCAGAACACTGGCGACAATGTCCTGGCCCTGGTGCAGAGCATCTCGAATGCTGAGGAAATGTACGACACGGAGGCACACTCTGAGGGGCATTCGGTGTTCTTCGACTATCTGGGCCTCTTCTTTGTCTACTACAAAGAGTCAACGGGCGTGGCACTCAACATTTGCTTCTCCCTGGGGGCCATCGTGCTCGTCTGCCTGTCGCTGTGGCGCATGGCCAGGGTGTCGCAGCAAACCATCGGCACCTATGCCCGAGCCTTTGGCATGATGTTCCTGCTCGCCATTCTGGGATTCCTCCTCGCCCTGGGCTTCCCCCTGCTCATGTCCGTGTTCTATGACGCAGGGGATCGCACCATGACCTACTTTACCAACAGTTGGCTGGTCATCGGCATCTTCATTTGCCCCTCGCTGCTCGGCCTCATCCTGCCGCTGACCCTCTACCTCTCTCTGCGGCCGAGCGTAAGTGGAGCCAGCGGAAAAATATCTCTTCTGGGGTCATCCAGCATTCATTCTCCCTTGCAGGTGAAGATCCCGCACACGTACCACCTGCAGATCGCTGGACACGCTTACTGCGTCTTTTTGGCCATCATCTGCATCCTGCTGACAGTGGCCGGCATCCGCACTGCCTACCTCTTCCTGATCTGCATTTTCTTCTATGTTTGCGCTCTCATTATCAACCTGCTGAGTCGACTCCACGATCGAGGCTACCTTTGGGCCCTGGTGCTGGGCGTCTGTCAGATCTTGCCGTATCTCTACTTCACGTACTTGTTCCACGGCTTCCTGGTCATCACCATACCCATGACCAGTCGCAAGGGCATGGAGACGAACCCGGACATGCTGATCTCCCTCCTGTGTGCCTTGGGCACCATCCTGTCAATGATCTTTGTGGTAAGCCAGAGATGAGGGGCTGCCTGTGAGGATTATGCTCAGCATTCAAGCTCTTTTCAGGCTCCGCTGATCAACCTGTTCCGCAGACCCAAGAGCATGCTGGCAGGCTTGGCCCTGGCCATGTTCGTGTTCTGCATGATCTCCGTCTCTGAGGTTGGATTTCCCTACCGCCCCAAGACCAATGTGATGCGTCTGCACTTTCTGGTGAGTCAATGGCAATCCGAATCGTTGGAGCCACCCCACTGATTGTCTCGTTTTAGGAAGTACATCGCAAGTTCTATGCTTACGATGGCTCCCTTAGTTTGGAGGACAGCGGCTACTACTTTGACCTGCAGGACAGACGGCTGGAGGAGCCGCTGCGGGACAAGATGAACCTCACGGGCTTCACGCGCCTCGACGAGGAGTGCAAGAAGGAGATGAAGTGCGGCATGCCCTGCTTCAACCATCGCTGGTGTGCCGCCGTCGCAGATGCCCACTGGATGCCCCGCACGGAGCTCGTTGAACTCCCCAGCCCCACCGTCCTGGAGCTGCTCAACAAGACCGTGCTGGTGGGGCAGTTCGATACGCGAGTTCGCTACGACTTCAAGGTGTCGGGTCCGCCGCGGATGAGTCTGTTCGTGCTGCCGCTCGACGGTGTCAAGATCCTCAGGTGGTCCTTCCTGATGGGCATGCTCGATAACCCGGTCACCTACAAGCCGCCCTACCACATCTTCTTTGGCTACGGCAGCGACGACTCTCCCGTCGAATTCTACTTCGAGCTGAGGGTAAGTATTGCACACATTCTGCTCCCAACAGCGAGGTGTCCCTATCTAATACGATCATTTGTCGCTTGCAGAAGGACGATGGCAACTTTGAGGTTCCCCTGTTCGAGCTGGCCGTCGCCGGGCACTACATGAGCCACCTCAACAAGCGGGATGCGGCCAGTCAGCGGTTCATGGATGAACTGCCCGACTTTGCCCATCCCATGGAGTGGCCAACCTCCTACGAACGATATATATTCTAAGGCATTTAGCTGACAGGCTAAATGGCGTAGTAAAATCAAGGACACACATATTTAAATTAAATATTTCGTCTTTGTAAAAATATTGTACAAATAAATAGAGCTTAAGTTTACCGAGACCTTTTTGAGTGGCGTACATCTATTGGCATATATTTGCCATTGGCATTTGTCGTTCGGATGCGAGACAATAAATCCATAAATCCGCTAGTAAGTGCGTTACGATATGGGACAAAGTTGGGCGTTATGATTTCCCCTAATCGGCTTACCAAGGCCCCACTAAATTCGTCACCTATGGACAGATGACGTGCTCGTGTACACTTGTTCTGCGAATTTTCGGGGTATGTAGATTGGTAATTGTTCATAAAAAAAGAAACTCGCGCCATTTGGCCATAAATATCGAATATCTTTATGCTATGCTGCCGATACCAAGCTGCTGCCATAAATACAACAGCAGAAAATAACATTTTAAAGTGGGGATGGCGATGGCCATTAGTCGTACTCTGGCCACAGGCAGCAATGGGCGCTCCAAGGACTGACAAGGTATCGCATTTTTCCCCGATGAATCACGGAATGGGTAATAATTTGATTTGCTCCTCCTGCAGAGCTGCTCGGGCTCTGGCAACCTGATCATTGAGCTGGAGGAGAATGAATTGGCGGGCAAGCAGCTGCCGTGGTACTATGGCCCCACGTACCTGCTCTTCTGGGTGGGCCTGTTCTTCGCCGTGGTCCTACCGCTCTTCCAGGCGCTGCCCATGGGCCTGAAGATCGCCGAGGAGTCGTCGCGTCCGGGCAGATTTGTGGCCGAGCGGGCGCAGGCCATTGTGCTGCCCATCAGCCAGATGGGGCCTCGAGTGGTGGGCGACCACGTCAATGAGGTGACCATAGTGGAGTATATGCTGGGCGAGATTGCCAAAGTGCGCGCGGCACTGCGCGACGATCTCTTCGATATGGAGTGGGAAGTACAGCGAGCGTCGGGCTCTTATCTGCACAATGGCATGGTCAACCACTACCAAGGTGTGCAGAACGTGATCGTCAAGCTGAGCACGAGAGGCTCCAACAGCAGCTCCTACTTGCTGGTCAACAGTCACTACGACACCAAGCCAGGATCGCCGGGTGAGTGACAGACAGACAGACAGACAGACAGCTCCTGGCTGCAGCAGCAGATACGTAATTCCCGATTGTGACAGGTGCTGGAGACGATGCCTATATGGTGGCTGTAATGCTGGAGGTGCTCCGTCAGATTGCCATCTCCGATAATCTCTTCCTGCATCCCATTGTCTTTCTCTTCAATGGCGGCGAGGAGCAGCCCATGCTGGGCTCTCACGGCTTCATCACACAGCACCGCTGGTCCGCCAATTGCAAGTGAGTCGAACGCGAAAGCGAACGCGAACGCGAACGCGGGCACAGACTTCAGGGACCAATAATCAATTTATTCGCAGAGCGCTAATCAACTTGGACGGTTCGGGCGGTCGCGAGTTGCTCTTCCAGGGCGGTCCCAATCATCCCTGGCTAATGGAAGTAAGTCCCCTGCCGCACACACACACACACACACACACACACACTCATCCGCTGACCACTCACTCGACTTGGCTTGGCTCTTGATCGATATGAACAATATCGCAATATCGCCACCTGTCTGGCCAGGCATTTTATCTAATCGCTAATCGAGTTTGAAATTGTCGCCACAGCATTACAAAAAGAGTGTGCCGCACCCGTTCGCCACGACCACGGGCGAAGAGCTGTTCCAGGCAGGCCTCATACCCTCGGACACGGACTTTAGGATCTTCCGTGACTTTGGCGCCGTGCCAGGTATGCCGGGTTATCCTTTTTGTTTACGTCTTTCTGTCTAAGTGCAGTCTCTTCTATTAGGCCTGGACCTGGCTGGCATTCACAATGGTTTCGTGTATCACACGGAATTTGATCGTTACACCGTCATATCCGGCGATGCTCTGCAGAGCACTGGAGACAATGTGCTGGCTCTGGTGCAGAGTATCTCCAATGCCCACGAGATGTACGACACGGAGGTAACCTCAGCTCTCCCTTTGGTGTGTAGATTTTAAACTCTCTCTCTCTGCAGGCTTACTCTGAGGGCCACTCGGTGTTCTTTGACTTTATTGGCCTCTTCTTTGTGTACTACAAGGAGTCGACGGGCGTGGCCCTCAACATCACCTTCAGCATTGGGGCCATGGTGCTCGTCTGCCTCTCGCTGTGGCGCATGCGCAAGGCGTCGGGTCATCCCGTGGGCACCTTTGCCAGCGCCTTTGGTGTGCAATTCCTGCTGGCACTGGCCGGTGTCCTTCTGGCCCTGGCACTGCCTCTGCTCATGTGCGTCTTCTACGATGCCGGAGATCGCACTCTGACTTACTTTAGCAACAGTTGGCTGGTCATCGGCCTCTTCATCTGCCCCTCGGCAATCGGGCTCATTCTCCCACTGACCCTCTATCTGACTCTTCGTCCAAGTGTGAGTAGTTACCGGAACAGTGCAGATACTTCAACCAACTTCTGACTCTTTGCAGGCGAAGATTTCGCATGCCTACCACCTGCAGATCGTGGGCCATGCCTACTGCGTCCTCTTGGCCGTTCTCTGTCTGGCGCTGACAGCGCTGAGCATTCGCAGTGCCTACCTGTTCCTCATTTCGATTGTTTTCTATGTGGGAGCTCTGATCATCAATCTGGTTACCCGTCTGCATTGTCGAGGTAACCTTTGCGGATGGACCAATACTCTCTTGATGCCTGAGTAATGCCTTGCCTTGATTGCAGGTTACTATTGGTCCGTGGTGCTTGGAGCCAGCCAGCTGATGCCTTTCCTCTACCATGCCTATCTGTTCCACACCTTTATCGTCATACTCATACCGATGGTGGGGCGATTTGGTGTCACCACCAACCCGGACACCATCATAGCGGTTCTCTGTGCCTGTGGCACAATCCTCTCCATGTCTTTTGCGGTAAGATAGAGGATCGTTGACATCTCTGAGAGATCTCATAGTTATTTCCTTTTGGGCTTTTGGGCAGGCTCCGCTCATAAATATGTTCCGGCGACCCAAGAGCATGCTGGCAGGCTTGGCCCTGGCCATGTTCGTGTTCTGCATGATCTCCGTCTCAGAAGTGGGATTCCCCTACCGCCCAAAGACCAATGTGATGCGCGTGGATATGATGGTGAGTCGAAGATAATACTTTCCAAGCCAAAGATAGATCCCCATTTGTTTGGAGCAGCAAGTGCACCGCAGATTCTTCGAGCACGATGGATCCATGAGTGGGGAGAACAGCGGCTACTATCTGCACATGCTGGACAGGAACAAGGATGGGCCTCTTCGCGATACGATGGACCTCACGGGGCTCATTCGGCTGGGCGAGGACTGTGACTCGGAGCTGATGTGCGGCATTCCCTGCTACCGCTGGTGCTCGGCTCGCCAGGAGGCGCGCTGGCTGCCGAGGGAACAGCGCGTGGAACTGCCTTACCCCACTGTACTGGAGCTGCGCAACAAGACTGTGCTGGCCAGGGGCGATCAGGCACGTTTAGAGTTCCGGCTGTCCGGCCCTCCCAACATGGGGCTCTTCTTCCAGCCCAGGAGCGGAGTGAAGCTGCTGCGTTGGTCATTCGCCCAGGGCATGCTGGACAATCCGTCCACGTTCCGGCCACCGCTTCAAATCCAGATAACCTACGGCATAGACAGCACTCCCATTGAGTTCGACGTGGAGCTATCGGTGGGCATTGCTCTGCTTGAATGCTCCTTTTGCCCTTAATCATTCCGCCGCTTTGATTTTGCAGAAGGACAATGGAAACTTCGATGAGCCTCTCTTTGAGCTTGGCGTCTCCGGGCACTACGTGGGTCCCCGGGTCGAGCGGGATGCGCTGAGCGAACAGTTCCTGGCCACGCTGCCCCACTACACCTTCTCCATGCAGTGGCCGAGCAGCTACGCCCGATATATCTACTAGTTAGACAAGTTAGTTAGCCTAAGCAACAGATTAGTAAGTAGTGCCACGAGTGTGGGCCAATACAGGGCTTCCACTACTGGGGGAGTGGAAGTTGATGAGGCATTTCATCATTTGACTGTCAGCCGCAAGACAAACACACAACACGGAATATGGGAGATGGGAGCTGGGAGCTGGGAGCTGGCATGGGGAATGAGTAAGCAAAGATCTGAAAATGGAAACATTTGCGCAAACATTGCTGGCAGGGGGGGGTGGAGGCTCTTGGGTGGCCCGGGAGTGGGTTCGATCACGTATAAAAAGTGCGCAGTGGCCCACAGATAGACACACTTCGAGTTGAGCAGCACTTCCAGCAGCATCACAGCCCAAGCCCAAGCTTAAAACAAATATTCAAACATGAAGTTCTTCGCACTCCTCGCTGTCTTCGCTGCCGTCCTGTCGCTGGCCTGTGCACAGATTCCACCTACAACCGTACCTGTTCCATCGACATCGCTATCATCATCGCCGACCACAACGACAACGTACACCTACACGACGTCGCCCACAACACCGACCACCACCCTCACCACCGCCATAACCACCCCGAAGCCCTTCAAGCAGCAGCTCCTGTCGCTGCTGTTCAACAAGAGAACCGGATAAGCACCTGCCGCTCTCCCGCCACCGATCCCTCCTCCGATTAGTACAATGACAACAAAATAATAAAAACAACAAACAAACAAACAAACAAACGGCAGTTGAACACACTCAATCCCCTGCACCACACACACACACACACACACACACACAAGATCCAAGAGAAATTCTTTCACCAAATGTGAACATTTATCTCACGTAGCACCTCCGATACGATCTCTGGACCAGCTGATGTTTGCTCAAGTGTGTTATAGGAAAACGCCCCAACACCCCAACAGAGAGACACAAAATTTGAGCTGCCACTGCCTGCGCCTCCGCCTGCGCCTCCGCCTCCGCCAAAGGTCAGTCAGTCAGTGAGGCACTGTGCCAGACTTGATCATGGTCAGGTGGCTGTCATAGTTGGGTTGTGTGCATGTACGTAGCACGAATCGGACTCTGAATGCCAACTTGCATGGGTTAAATGTCTAATGTTTAAGCTGACAAATTGATAGAAGCACCTAATGGTGCTGTCCTTGTCTGCAGCTGCCTGAGGATGAGCTGAGTTGAGGAGTTATGAATGCCACAGCCCAGCCACGACGGCTTTCATGTACAACATGTACAACACGACTCAAAGTGATCGAAGCCACATACAGTGGGCATTGCCAGTGGGCAGATGATTACAAAAGAATATTCAATACTCCATACCCCACTGTAGGGTCATCTCTGTCGTGTTGTACGAGTTATTCGACAAATTGCAGCAGCAGCAGCAGCAGCAAACATTTTTAGTTGTGGGTGGGAAGATGCAATCAGTGGGCAGGCAGGGCTTCCGATCTGCCAGACACTTGGTCTCTGTGGCTGTGTGCAGTAACTGTAAAGTTCAAGCCACAATCTCTCTGAGTCTGCGAGTCTCTGAGCTGCATCGCACTGGGCTATAAATATTCAAACGGTTGCCCATGCTGGCCACAGTATCCAAACGAAGCCAAGCCGCAGCAGACTCTCGCCAAAGGATCCGATCACAAATCAGAGGATACAAAATGCAATACACAGTAAGCTGATACGAGATTTTGTTGGATGAACAGTTGGGCTGTTACTCAGTTGGTTGGTCCCCCCTTGCAGCTGCTCGTTGTGGCAGCCTTGCTGCTGAGCCAGGGCCAGGCACGGCCACAAGGACCGGCCGGAGACCAGATACCCATTATCAGGCAGGAGCAGGAGGTGAACTTCGATGGCTCCTACAAGTACTCCTACGAGACGGGCAACGGCATCAATGTGGAGGAGGAGGGCTACCTCAAGAACGCTGGCACCGACAATGCGGGACAGGTGAGTTCGTGCACCAGACAGCACTTGGCATTTGCTGGAGAGCTGCAACTGCAACTGCAACTGCAACTGCAATGAACTGAAGCTAATTTGGATTTGCATCTTGTGTGCCATTTGTAAAGGTCGCGCAGGGCTTCTTCTCCTACACCTCGCCGGAGGGCATACCCATTCGGATAACGTATCTCGCCGACGAGAATGGCTTCCAGCCGCAGGGCGACCACATTCCGACACCCCCACCAATTCCGCCAGCGATCCAGAAGGCACTCGCTTACCTGGCCACAGCGCCGCCGCCGCCGCAAGAGCAGCCGTCTGGTGGGTTCAACAACCGACGGGGCTAGACGATGTCACGGCATCCACATTCCTCCCTGTATGAACAGTGAACCTGTAGGAACATTGAACGAAAATTGAATAAATTGATTTCAATGAAACTACTTCAATGTATTTTATGGGCATATTCAAAACAGTTACTTAGTTAGCTCCATTAGGACTGGAATAATTAATTATTGCTGATTACGGCAAGCCGTTTAGTTGCATCCCAAAAGTATGCAACACTTTCCGTGTTAGCCGTTTCGAGCAATGTGTTGATGCAATACACCTTTTCGTAGCATACTTTTAGGCATTACTCAATCTGATGCCACTGAGTGCTTGTTGACTGTCCAACATGATCCTCACGTTAGCTTACCCCTTTGCAAAAGTGTCAACTCATTGCAATTAATCTCCAATAAGTGGCAGCATCTACTGGGCCGTCTGCTTCCCATCAAATTACGAACTAATCGCATCGTAAACCCCGTCGCTTTATTGATCAACTCGCCCACCGGTCGGATCGGTGGCAATTAGGCACAGCAGCAATCGCACTGTTGGCCCAGACCTGGCCGGACTGCACAGACTGCAGCTTGACTCTGCTTGACTCCATGTGGGCGTTGTGTGGTGCGGTGGTGCAGCTGGCCGTAACATATAAAGCTGGGCCCCTGGGGCCGCAGCTGCTCATTGATCATCTTCCACGATGTGGCTGCGTATAACGGTAGGTTGAGTGCTTCACTTGCTTCACTTGGACGGGATTACTTACCGACTTCCCTTTGCAGATTGCTCTGCTGCTGGCCTGCGTGGCTGGTGCCCTGGCCCAGAACGATGGAAGGTATCGTCCTCCTCCTGGTGCTGCGCGGGCGACTGCCGACGACGGACGCCACAAAGGTGGCAACGATGGACGCTATCGCGGCGGTGGCGATGGCCGCTACTCCGGCGGCAACGATGGCCGCTACATACACATGGACAACAAGTACGAGCATGACGATCGGGCTGGAGGAGCTTACACCGGAGACCGCAACCGCTATGTGGGCGACAAGAATGCTGGCGGTGGAGCAGGTCGAGCAGGTGGAGCAGGCGGTGCTGGGGCAGGTGCCAGAGCAGGAGCCACCGCTAGACCCAAGCCGCGACCCACAATTCCACCACCGCCGGCAGTTGTCGATGTGACGGCCAAGCTGCCCAAGGGACGGGGCACAGGCGAGGGCGGCAATGGTTGGGCCATTATCCGACTGGAGGATGATGTGGAGCAGGATGGCTACCACTATCTGTGAGTATACGAGAACCCAAAGCAGAGAGCACAAAACCCTTGGACTCTTCCTTAGCTACGAGACGGAGAACGGCATTCTGGCCGAGGAGAGCGGACGCATCGAGAAGCTGACCGAGGAGGAGGGCCTCCGCTCGAAGGGCTTCTACGAGTACACTGGCGACGATGGCATACTCTACCGCGTGGACTACACTGCCGATGACAATGGCTTCGTGCCCAGTGCTGCTCACCTGCCCACGGCTCCCCCGCCACCGCCGTACGTGGCCAAGCTGTTGGCCTACCTGGAGGCGAATGCCAACAAGAAGAAATAGTTATGGAGTCGAAATGTGAATTGATTTGACAATAAAACAATGTGCCATACAAGTTCAGGGATTATTGAGTGTGTGTCCAGCGGTTTTCGATTCCAAATGAAGGCAAAACATTTATTTCACACGCTAAAATACATTTCATTGAACATTCAGGGCAGAGTGGGCAGGATACGCTGCTGTATGTACTCCAGGACGTCATTGATGGTCTCATGGATCTTCTCGGGCTGTCAATGAACCAAAGAGCTTAAGTAGAAGACAAATAATACGCATGAATGGCTGGGCACTTACATCCTGTTCGGCATTAAGGTTGGTTTGTTCCGGCTCCGGCTGAACCTCCTCCGCTGGTGGCTCACAGCTCAGGTCTGAGCCGTCGTCCGGCTGCTGGTAGTGATAGGACTCCTTCGCCACTTCCATCTCCCACAGCTTGTTCTCGTTGATGTAACTATATTTCTTGGTGTCCGGATGGGTCTCGTCTCCGTCGCGCACCCACTCGAACTGAATGATCTGCCAGCCCGTGCCGTTGTAGTTGAAGTCGATCATGAAGCGCAGATGATCGCGGGGACCCAGGGCGAAGTCATCGTTGGCCTCCTGCACACTGGCGGCCAGCTGCTCCTCGGCCTTGCGGAAGATGCTGCGCAGATCGGCAGAGTACGGCTGGCCCCGGTCCCCGTAGCCGCCATCGTAGGGCTTGTGCTCGTGGCGATACTTTCCGCTGTTGTCCGGCATATACCAGCCGGTGGCTCCGTGCAGCTCGGGAATGTAGCGACCCCGCTTGATGGGCAGTGGCGGTTCCTGTTCCTGTTCCTGGCCCCAGGAGCAGCTGATCGTGCACAGGCCGAGCAGCGCCAGAGAAGTCAGTGCCAGCATGAAGCGTGTTCCCATGTCGACTACTTGATTACGTTTGACTCGACCCCAATGCACTCGCTGGCCATTTTAGTTTGGGTCTCCAATCGAGATGGCCGCCTGGCTAATAAGTCTCTAGGTTTATGTGCCAGCTGGCATCGTTTAATTGGATTAAATATGGCCGGTACCGAACCCGTGCAGATGAGTCAGGCAGATCTCTGCATGCTAACAAGCCGTCAAATACTTGAAGCAACTAACTGAGCAATAACTCGTTTGCATTGGCAACGGCGGGTTGCTTTTAACCTTTCTGAGCCACAATGCATTTGCAGTGCAGAGACCACCGACAACCGATTGAGACTCGTTCCGCAGGATGCCTTACACATGGCAATCGAAGGAAATCCAATTGATCAATCAGCTGCAATCGTTCATCTTTTTGTTTCCCCTTGAAAGCCATTCAAGCGATCGTTGATCGATTTGTCACCTTAATTGCCTGGGGTTGAAATTTCACTAAGCCCCAAATAGGATCAAAGCTAATTAGTGTCGTTGAAATCAAATTCAAATGAGACACGCTCGTTTCTCTTAATGAGCGTTAATAACAACAATAACTGTCAGTCAGTCGAGCTGTGAGATCGGTCAACGGTTTAGGCATTCGTTATTCATTAATCATCTTTGGCAGGCTATTGATTTGGGCAGTCCCACCCCCCTTCATAATATTGCTGTAGCTCCCATAACCCATCAACTCTAGAATGTTTTGGGGCGAAAGCCACCACGCCCACACCACACGCCACAAGCCAAGGTTTGCCATAGGCTGGGGAACTGAACTCTTGACTTGATTGAACCTTGCGAATATTTTTGCAAATACCTGATCATGGTAAGGAAGTGAATGATGATTTGATACTGTGAATCACAAAGGTCGTAGAACCTTACGAAACTGTTCATTGATTACTCACCTAACGATGGATCGACTGTACATATGTAGTCTGTATATTTGTATTTATATTCTAATGAAACTGCAACAACAGGTTAGCTTTTAACTCTCACCCTCCCAGTCTCTGCTTGGGAGCTGTAAATCTGGAATTGCGGCTGGAGATGAATAAAGAGAGACTGCCCCTGGGCAATGCGTAATTTGGTGTTTTGCATGCAATTAATTAATTTCACAAAACGTTCGCTGGCCCACGCTGCGTCCTTCGGGGCAATTTACGAGAGTGTCCTGACAATTTACTCGTAAATTGCACACAACTTAGTTGGCCGCAGACGGCGCCTAAAGTGAATTAATTTTAACGACAATTCTGCGGTCAAAAAGCATGCGGATAAAGCTCAAACCCAAGGGGGAACTAGCAATTTCTGTGGATTCCATTGCCATGATGTCATCATACTTGTGAAATATAAATATGTGAATATACATTTCTCTTTTTCACACTTGTCAGACTGGAAATTCATTTATATGCGATTTTCCCATTTTTATATAATTTTTTTGAATGCCTTTGCTTTGATTTTTTTGGTCAAACGACAGGAGAGAGATGTTTATTTTATTTAGCACCTTTAGAAATTACAATCAATAATTTTGGGAGTGGAGGCGCTTTGAACTCGGTCCCAGTCCCATGCCGTCCAGGTGTCAGGTTCAAGTTGCCACAAACCCAGACTGAAGATTCCACATATTCAACTCGTATCCAATTACGCCTCATTGTGACTGGTAATTTGTTTCATTGTTTTGGCCTGGACACTGCTCCAATTGCAGTTTGTCATGTCGCCTGGTTTATTATTTTAATTTTGGGTTTCGGGTTGGGTTTTTGCTTGGTTTTTGCTACAGCTAAATGGCGCTTTGTAAATGAATTCGTTGGGCGAAACAAATGCCGGCAATTAATGGCACAAATCGTTTGTGTTTAATGGTATCGATTAAAATGTGAATGCGCCGAGTGCTACCAAAAGCGATCCATCTACGAGTCTGTGCTCTGGCATTCGGTGGCTGAACTGGCTTCAGCGCCGCCACAATATTTATAGACATTCCATTTTGATTTACGCAGGGGCTGACCCCTCCGACTGCACTAATTAAACCCAAAAACGAGAGCAAATGATAATTGAGCAAATCTTTGGCATGCGAATCCGAGTGAAAACCCACGCAAAAGTCGGCGGGGGTATTTATGGATCGAAATACAATGCCCGCCCATAAAGATTTCATTTGGTTTTGCCCGAAATGCTAAAGGCTGTCTGTCCAAAAGGCCCGATCCGACTCATAGGGGGTGAAAATACGCGTAAATCATATGTGGGGAACGGGACCGAGAGCGGGAACAATGCCGTCATTATAATCCAATTAAATTCCACTGCAACAGTCCGAGCTCGGCCAGGGGATTAGGTGTTGTTGAACAATCGATAGGAATCGATTCCTATTGAGTGCACAGAACTGGCAACGAACAGGAATGGCAAAAGAAGAGGCATGCTTGATAAGAGCTGAGAGCAGCCGAGAGGAGAGGCGATGAGCGCGCAAGAAAGACAAAGAAGCAAACAAAGGTGCATTGAGAAACATCTGTTATCTGTTATCTGACAACATTGCAAGTGAGAGAAATGCTCGGGAATACTAGGGCATGGATTACGGGAAATTGTTGTTTTTATACGAAGAGCAAAATGAAATTTCATTTCATTTCATTCGTAATGCTGCACAGCACTCGATGATATGAGAACGCCCTCCAAAAAAAAAAAAAAAAAAAAACAAAAACTTTTGTCGGTTGAGATTAATTTTAGTTCAACTGCGATATCGGGCAGGGGATTGCTCCAGAAGGGTGCGTATTAGTCATGTTCCACTCTGGATGAACGCGCGGCTTAATCTTCATTTCTCTTCAGTTCTCTTCAGGCCCTCGAGGCGCAAACGACTGCGGAAGCAGAGCTTTGCACATTCCATATCCGGATATACATAATGGGCGTCGGAACTAGGTTCTTGCTGGCTGTCGTGGGAACAGCGATTTGTCTAGTCGGAAGCATGACTGGCGAGATTCTGCAGTGCTTCCAGTGCAATGAGGCGGACCAGACGTGCGGATCACCGCAGAAGCCGCTCGGGCGCATTGGCGAGTGCCCCCACTCGACCATGTGCTCGAAAACTGTGTTAACGATGAGCCTGCTGGAGGGACACCAGTGGATCAAGACGATGCGGGGATGTGCCCAGCAGCTGAACACCACACACGTCTTCGTGAACAAGGCGTGGGTGGAGAAGTCCGTCGTGGAGGAGCCGTACCAAGAGGGCTGCATCGAGAAGAAGGTGAACCCCGGCAACGCCATTCTCCTCTGCCACTGCCGCGGACCCTTGTGCAACGCAGCAAGCAGTCTGATGGCAACTGATGGCCGACTGCTGCCGCTGATCCTCTTAGGCTACATCTGGTTCTGGAGCTGTAGGAAACAGCACTTGTGATCGATCGCCTGCTAGTCGGAGGCACTTTTTGGGGAGTGCCCATGTCCGTGTCCGTGCCCGTGCCCGTGCCCGTGATGATGCTTCCTGCTCTCTAAGCCGACTCAAATTGTGTGAAATTAGTTTTAAGCAGATTACAGATTTATGTGCGACACTTTCCGACTCGTCAAAACTCGTTCTGAACTTGGAAATGGATCGTAAATACTTGATTTGACCGGAGCTTAAGCAGTCCAAGCCGATCCTACCTGGCCGCGTGATGTGATATGAAATGAAATGAAATGAAATGAAACCCCAGTGACGCATCGCGTCAGAAGAAAGTGCGAGATTTGGACAGAATGTGATCACAAGGTCAATGCCAAGGCTGGCCCGTAAATAAACATAGTCTATATGTATGTGTGTTCATTTTTTGTTATAATAAAATAACACCAGCAGCTCCCTGCGGTGTGAAGATCTGATCTGATATCTGATTGCAAATACTCTTAGCATGCAAATCAAGTGCCAGCCGCCCGAGCATCACAAATCGAACTTGTAATTGATTAAAAAGTCATTTTATTTAAATATTTATTAAGTATTTGTGACTTTTATGAATGCTATAGTCCCCATATAGATATCGCCAGAGCCCAAAGCCCAAAGCCAGCCGAAATGATTCAAAATATGATTCAAAAACAATAACAGCACGCGCCGTGATTCACACAACAAATCGGTTGCTGCTGTGGTTCGTCTCTGGTCTGGCCTGGTACCATATCATCTCTGCTGGTCTGGGTTCAGCGTACGACCTTTGGAGTGCAGTGACTGTGACGCAGCATCGATACTTGCCACTTGGCACTTGGTACTTGGCTTGCCGTGTCCCAAACTGTTGCGTTTTAATCACAGTTTATGTTTATGGTGGTTATTAATTGGCTTAAGTCCGCTGACAATCATTCTCCGCCTCGGCTGCTTCCATTTACACACACATATGTACAGATGTGTGTTTAATCTTGGTAATCTTGGATCCATCTCTAGACTGCGAAACCGTTAAGGACAAATTCCAAGCCGATCCCCGAGCTGTCACTGCCGCTAGTGGCTGGCTGTCTGGCTGGCTGGCGGTGTCAACGTTTGCTACAAACAATTAAAATCACTTTTGTCAACATTTTTCTTCTGCCGGCTCAAACTGCTGACTCTTATTCCGATTCCGATTCCGATTCCGGTTATACATATGTTTGTATGCTGTGAGAGACCCAGCCCCAGTGTCAGTCGCATTCGCATTCCCATCCTCATCCTCATCTCCACCTCAAAATCTCCATCTCCAGCGACTTCAATATTAATGCATTTCGCGTTGTGGCAGGCGCGCGCATTGTCTGAATGGTTTTTTATTTATTTTTATTTGTTTTTATCTTTTTGTGCGTTTTTGTTTCTTCGCTGTGTTTCCGCTGGTGCGTAATTTATGATTTCATTACGGCACTTTTATGGCGCTTCCGAGTGCCTCCAGGTAGTTGAGACAAGTTTGAATGGATCTCCTTCGATGCCGGCGATGTTGTCATCGCTTGCCACAGCTAGTTAACGCTGGACCCCAACTGAGAAATTAACGGGCGTCCGAGCATGGAAGGGAATAAACGCCAGACCCTCACTATGAGGGTCCGTTTAGAACCTTTTCCAGGAAAACTTGCACATTGGGACTATCCTCGAGACAGCAGCGACGGCCACCAGAGCAAACTTTTTACTGTTTTCATGCTCCGTTTTTCCCGCACGTCCTTGACGCGCAAAAGTATTTTCCCTTCATTGTGCTTTGGCTATGACCAATCAAAACAGAATTTAAATTAATGTTTTATTTTTCAAGAGTCGTTATCTGGCCTGGCCTGAACTTTACCTTCGATTATAATTATCAGCAACTGAGGCGATTTCCAAAACTGTTTCGCTCTCATTGTTCGCCAGAATTTCGATGACAGTTCTCAGTGGAATCATGGGAATTTCTTCAACAGAAGCCAAGTAAACAGCGCGTCATCCGCCAGAGGTATCCTAAGATGCACAAAGATCTTTATAGTTCAAGTTTAAGGGGTCGCTGAACCGCGAGCAGACGACATTTGCCAAATTATACAAATTGTTTTATTGATTATAAATGTAATTACATTGATATGCCATATAAAAAATATTGCCTCAGTTGCCAATCCAATGAGAGCGCAGCATCTAAGCTGCATTCCAACGAAAGGAACGAGCGAGAGGAGGAGACGCACAAGAGACAAGAGAAGAGAGCGACGACGCACGTCACTGTCGAAAAACCAAACGGGAGCAGAAAGCTAGAGAGAGAGAGAGAGGAAAAGAGAGTGGGTGCCATAGTTGTTGTTCTTTTGGCTTATCGAATTGAACTGAGGTGAACCGATACACACACACACACACACACACACACACAAATACTCTCGCACGCGGATGCTGCTGCTGCTGCTGCTGCTGCGGCTGCGGCTGAGTCTCAGAATTTTAGGAGCGCCGCGTCGATGATCGTTGCGCCGAAAGCGCTCTGCCACCGGCACATCTCTATATAAGTGGAGCGTACTTGATCGAACTCCAAACATTCCTGTTGCAGTCGCCCTCAGAGAAGGATTACCAGCGAGCGAAAACAACATTAAGCACAAACAAGCCCGAGGATAATACCCCAAAGGATATCGACTATAATCTAAGCCAAGCAAAACATGTTCACCCAAACCATGCTGAGATTCTCCGCTGTGGTGGTCGTGGTAAGTAGTCCAGTGCCAAGATCCTGCCCAAAGTGTCGCCCAGTGTCGCCGTTTACGTGTATCTCCGCCTCCGTCACGTTGCCAGCGCGAGTTCAATTAGCAAGAAAATAAATACTAAATACGTATCCATTTAATTACCTCGTGCCGACTCGATGCGGAGCAAGTTATTGGCACAGGCGCCGCTGAATCATTAGATCGGGAGTGCATTCAACTCGTCCCCGCATTGGGGGCCACTTCCTGTCACTGTTTTAATTGCAAAGTTGGTAATCGAATCTAATCCACTCCCACTCCCGCAGGCTCTCATTGCTGTCTGCCACACCAGTCCCGTCCCAGACGAGGACTACAATGGCAAGTATACGGTTTCAGGGCAAAATTCTAACGCCGGCAAGTACAGGTCACTGGATGACGGACGGTACCATCCCAGTTCCCAGAATGAAGGTATTTCGTGATCCAACTCTACTAACGCGCCTACCACGCCCACTGACTGCATGCGGTTGCTGTTGCCGCCCACTAACCCGCCAGCAAAAAGAGAATCCCTCAAGCAAGCCCGATCTTGCTACTAGTACTAACACACACACACACACACACACACACGTACAAAGCACACACTTAGTTATACGAATAAACCGTTGACTCTGCAACCAAGTTCAAGCTCAAGGTTGGTCTGGCCTTTGAAAAATGTTTGCAAGTTGCAAAAGCAATTCGGAACATCTCTGACAATGTCTTGAGCCGAGCTTCCACACTAACCAGAGTACACTCTGCCTTCCTCCCCCCCCAACTAGAACTGAAACATGATATTAAACATTTAATTTCTTATAGGCCGCAGTGGTGCCGTGGATAGTTTAGGTAAATCATTGTAAATCAATTACAAGAGAAGGGAAGAAGTCATTCTTCCAGTTCTCCATCCCCATCATTTGCAGTTTAGGAATGAAAGATGACCTTTTGCCTGACTGAAGTTTAACCCCAAAAACCAAATCACTTTCAGTCCTAGCTGCACCCATCCATTGTACAAACGAGAAACTAACGAAAGTTGTAAATATCTCAAGGCAGATATATATTATTTGTTCGTTCCAAAAGTTACCCTCAAATCACTCACTCACAGCCACTCACACAGACCAGAGCTTTTTCCCACAGACGGCATACTAATCATTGATCTCTGTTGCCATCGCCCCCCAAAGGTCGTTACCAACACATGCCACAGCCCTACACTCATGTGACGGATCACCGCGAACTGGGAGCCTACCACCACGTGCCCTATCCCTACGATGGTGGCTATGGGCCATATGCCGGGCTCAATAATCCCTACGTCCACGATGTCAGGCCCTACAAGTAAGTTCAAGCAGTAATTAGTAATTAATAATATACTGAATGCAATTGTCTCGTTCGCAGCCACGATTTGTACACAGTAAGTAATGCCGAGTTCCAAGTACCAGAAATCCGCTTGGAGTACGGCTTCCCCGATCATGAACCGCAAATCGCAACACAAACCCATCTGCAACCGAGCATCCAGCACTAAAGAAAGCCCCCACCTGTTCCGCCACCCTTCCCGCTTTCATAACCAAACAAAATGATTTACGAACGATTTCGGCTCTGCAAACTAAACCAATCCAAAACCATAACGCGCTACATGAAAACCTCATAAGGTATCCTGCATGATCCAATCCGAATTCCCCACTCCAAAATCCATGCCCACGCACACGCACACACACACCCACACACACACACACCCAATGAGCAAAATGAAACCAACACCCACACCGCACCACCCACTCACAGTCCACGACGACAACAACGACGAAGAAGCCGACTACAACCACGGAGCGTACCACCACCACCACCACCACGACCACGACCACGCCGAGGAACATCCTCTTCAACTACGATGACGAGGGTCGCCACAAGATTCTGCACCAGGAAGAGATCCGCAAGAAGGACAAATACGATCATGCGTAAGTGTTCAGCCCAACCTCCAAGCTCCTCCTGCCAAGCTAACGCTCCTGTTTCCCCGCCTAAACAGTTTCCTGACCGAGAACGGCATCTACGGCGAGGAGCAGGCCAAGCTCCATCACACCGGCGGCACTCACGCCAAGGGTTACTACGAGTACACCGGCGATGATGGCAAGCTGTACCGCGTCAACTATGCTTCCAACGATGGTGGCTTCATGCCCGAGGGCGATCACATTCCCACTCCGCCGCCCATTCCAGAGGCCATTGCGCGCGCCCTCAAGTACGTGGAGGAGCAGCACAAGGCCAATGGCGGAGCCCAGTTCGATCATCGTGGCTTCCGCATCAACCACATGACCAAGGACATCAAAGCACAAATCAAGTCCATCCATCTGGAGCGCATGCCCAAGGAGCTGGGCGACCAGATCCGCATGCTCCAGCACGAGGTCGAGCTGGCCGAGGAGGAGGAGCGCGAGGAGGAGCGTGCCGAGCAGGAGAGGCTGGAGCGTGAGCAACTCGCCGAGTAGGCCTGCTCACAGACTTTGCCTCATCAACAGCCATAAGGTCCCTCTACCTCTAACTCCCCCCCATCCATCCGAACAGTCCTAGTCCAACCACCCACACCCACACCCCACCATTCCCTTGCATTTGCCGAGTAATTATCGGGCAAACCCTATAACAAGCCATCAAAAACGAAGAAAAAAAAAAAACCACAAAAAAAGGAAAAAGGAAAAGGAAGGAGAAATCGCATTGTAGTCCGCTCCTATGTTATTTCGTATTTATTTATCTGTCCAACTCAATATGACGACGGTACGTTGCTAAGCATAAGATAATTAATTATTTTTTGTTATTTTATATATCAAAATAAACCCCACTAAATATCTGTTACGAAGAAGCAAGCATTTCCAATGGCAGAGCACTGCGAGGAGCCCTTGGGTTGTGAAACGAATGTTTCATTATTCTGAATCAAAGGCCGCAACGCATTTGATAATGAAACTGTTGTGACATTTTGCCAAATTATACGAGTATTCCACAGTTTGTGCACACAATGTAGGGGCTCCGTTTAAAATTAATGGGTTTGTTGCTCTCCTCTCCGAAAGGCGAGACAAAAACAAGTCTCCGTCTAAGTAGTCGCTCCGAGCACCCCAAGTACATTTGCTATTCACATTTCCGATAAGCAACAGTTGACCCATTTTTGTCTACAGCAAGAGTCGGGATAGCCCTCAAGAATGTTTTGCATAGTTCTACAACAACAAATAAAATCTAACAAAATGAGGGAGTAAATAATAATTATTCCTCAATTGTTTCCAGAACAATGCTCCGCATATCCAGTATTCTCCAGGCAGTAAGCAGCCTTCCAATACTAACCAGTTCTTCAGGAATAATCTTAAGTGGGCATAAATAAGGCAATCTTCTTAATTGGCTTAAGGATATCTATATAAATTATATTATTCGATTGTACTCGTTTAATATTTAGCTGTAAGCAGTGTTTACTTATATTCTTCACTGACCTTTCTAAGTTGGCTATAGAAACACGTTGTGAAAACGGAGACACTGGGAAGACAAACATGAACAAAACTCTCTCGATTGCTGACTCTAAGACGGAACGGTTTACGGAACGTGTTTAACACCCACATCAAATACTTACACTAGCCATAAAGTGCTCAAACGACACCGAAGATGTTTTGTCTTGGTTTCAATGTTTTCAAAATCAAAAAGTCACAGCACACCTTTGTGCTGAAACCTAAATTGAAAGAGCTTTTGTGACGTCATGGTATTAAGTAGAGCTTAAATGGTTAAACAAATTCAATCGAAAGAAGGCAAAATGGCGCTCGTCACTTGACCACAGAAGACTTTAAGCATTATTCAATGCGAGTAGAAACGTAATTTCCATGGAAATATTCCAAGAAGCAAAACGAATTTGTTAATATTAAATATTTTTTATTGGGAAGAAGCCCAAACACACTTATTTCACTCAAGTAACTTAGAACAGGAAGGAGTGTTGGATCAATGCTTCGTATGTGCCACATTGGCTGCGGCAGGCTGGCTGGCATAAAAGGCAGAGTTAACGCCATCATCTGAAAGAGAAATAAATCTTGAACTTGAACTGTCACACTTGGCTTACTAACAGGTGATCACTGGACGGAAGCCATTGGCATCGGCCACGTATTTGACTCCTACACGCAGACCCTCGGGGGAGATGTAGGAGTAGGCACCCTCGACCTGTTCCTCCTGCTCCTGGTTGCCTATGTCGACGGGCACACCGCGCTCCTCGGCGTGGATGCCGTTCTCCGTCTCGTAGTTGTAGACATAGGAGCCCGTGCCGTAGTTGGCCTCCCGGGACTGGGCCACAACGCGTGCCTGGGCGTTGGCAATGAAGGGATTGTACTTCTTGTAGAAGCCGTCGTAGTAGCGACGCAGGTTGTACAGATCGCGGTTCTTGTAGTACAGGTTCCTGTAGAAGGGGTTCCTCAGGTACGGATTGTATTGCCTCTGCCCCTCGCAGACGATCGCGGCCAGAGCCAGTACGAAGAGGCACGACAACTGCAAACACATGAAGTAACTTTGAACAAGAACACATCACTTCCTCACTGCGAGTTCCCTGTGATTTACCAGTTTAAGACACATTTTCGATGGCAACTCTCAGCGCTGATCTACGCGACAGAACTGTAACAGTTTCGCCGATCCACGGATCGTTTTATAACCAACTTTGGAGACCAATTTAGCATAAGCATCTAATTTCAGTATGCAGTCAAATTCCGTTTAAAATTTAGATTGCTTTTTATTATAATTTGGCTGTTTGACTGTATAAATAATTAAAGCGCTGCCAAAAATGCTTCAAAACGGCTAGCAAGGCAAAGCGAATACAATTTCTACGCCACACAGTTGGGGGGCGTTAAGTGTTTGCCTAACGATATGAACATTTATATGCAAAAATTATACATTCAGTAGTGAAATTCGAGAAGCCACTGAATAAACTAGCAGGCATTCAATATATTTCCATTATTTCCGGCTGCTCCCACTGGCTTACATCTAAAAACTAATTAACTTTCCATATAAATATGAGATGATGAACGCTTTCCGATTTAATTCAACAAGTAAAGAATGTCCGAACAGTGAACACACAACAAATGATGGATCCAAGACACCATCCAAGTCAAGAGTAGTTAAATGTATCCTTATAGGTTCCAATGCGACCAAAATAGTCGCCCAAAACTATAGACCAATCGATGGGCGTTTCTGCGCTTGCCGTGTATAAAACCACACACCAGTTTGCAGATAGACTGAAGTGTATCCACAGCACAACAAAGAGATGAACGAGAAGCCACGTGAGTTTCAGGACTTCACCTTCCTGGCAAACATAATGTTCGAGTTGCTGCATACAGCCAGGCCTTTGTGGCAGAGTGTCCTCCTGCGCTGCTACTTTGTGCTTTGCAGTGCCAGCAACTGCTATGCAGCGGCAGCGGGAGCTCTCCATTGCGTGGATATTTAATAGCATTCTAATGCTTTGCCAAAGCTGGATCGGGTTTTTGGTTTATGGCACGCTTCCAGCTTCCAGCGGAGATATCCGCAGATATCGATTCTTCGACACGGACAACTTTTTGGCCACATTGCAGAGTGTCTCCAGTAGAAAAAGAATATTTGAATTTGTGTTTAAATCACTTTAATTGATTCCCCATAGCTGCAACTCGATTCAGTAAAATTTAATTTATGATTCGCATCAGAAATTGAGGTGAATAAAGCATGAATGGGGTGGCTGAGACACGACCCCGTGAATGAATATGAATGAAGTTGAAGTTGGAGTTTGAGAAGATACATTGTATGCTGCCAGGGGGGAAGGGGAATCATCTCGATTGCATCGTCGGCCTTCACATTTCGCGTGCGATTTGACAGCAGTCAACAAGTGCAACAATAGCTACACTGTACAGCCAAAGTCACGTGCCAGACCTTAGGCAAGAATAGATGTAAATTCTAGACTTTGTTTATTAATTTCAAGACGAGGGAATGGCTCATTTGATGGCCTTAAATTTGCATACGAAAGACCGCAGAGACTCGAACAAATTGAGATCAGTAATCAATCAGAATTTGTCACCCAAAGGTCCAAGCAAACTCAGTTTCCATTCAAAACAAAACACAACAAAACAAAACACCAACCGGACCCATAACTGTCCAAACTTTGTTCATTCTGAGACTTTATGGTTCCACAGCTGGAGGAGTCTTGTGGCTTTTGGGCAGTGGATCGGCGGAATGCGTTAAACAGATTAGCCCAAAGCTCAGACAAAAGATCTTTATTGGCTGTTTTGCATAAACGAGCCGTTGAATATTGGCCATTCGATTAATTTGCTCGAATTTATTTGGCTTCAGTCTTTAAATATTCACTCCGGACTTATAGCAGCTTCCAACTCGTCTAATAAATGTCTTCACAATGGATTTATCGTGTAAACAAAAACTAAATATAGTAAAACAAACTTTCGATTAAGATGTGGGTTTTTGTAGATTGATCTCTGAAAATTCATTAGTTGCATTCTTGAGGCAGAGCAAAAGTTCTTTAACTTCACTTGACATATGGAAACAGGGGAGTTGCTGGTAGATCCACTCCCGCATATCAAATGGTTTTTGTCAGCGATTTGCATTAATAAACGATGATTCGAGTAATCAACGACTCCCACGTGCTGCAGATCGATCCCCCTGCCATTTAAGATCTCTGTCAATTTGCATAAATCACATTAGTGCGAAGACTATGAACTGTGCCCAAAGATACCCCATACTCATACCCAGACGGATTAGCATCGATATCAGCATAAAATGCAATTGCATTGTCGTCGTCATGGAGCTCATTCCACTGCTGGATGGTTCTGCAAGGTCAGGTGGTGATTCAGCCCCGACAGAGCTCCAGTTACAAGTTCAGCTTCCCTGACCACACCAGACACAGGCGAACCAGTTTACGCTGCTAAAGCGGAGCAAAGTTACTCAAGTGCATCCTTGACCATGAAATGGGCAGCACCAACGCGTAACCAATGCCCCATCCAAGCTGCCAGACCCAAGCTCCGATCTCCGCGTAACACCCAGAGCGGTGCAGTAGCTGATTTCGCGACATGACCAGAACCACTGACATTTAACCACCGCAACTGGTTCGACGTCTGCTGCGGTGCAGCGTCTCCAGCCATTGAGTGCTGCTGCTACTGCTGCTGCAGCTTCAGCTATGCGCAATTATTTATTTATGCCTTCATTGACATTAGCATTAGCCGTTGCAATGTGTGCCAGGCCAGGCCAGACCAGGCCAGACCAGACCAGACCGAAGACCATGCCAAAGGCGGCTCTAGCTGCTTACGCAACAGCCAAATCAACGCGCAACTGCAACTCGGGTGGAGGAGAGCCGATCCCTTCATACTCTGGCTGGGATCTGTATGAGATATTCGACATTTATTCCAGACCAGCATTGGCGGATGCTGAGTGTGCCAACTAACGCATTATACCCTGCTCTTTGCTGGGTATCCAATTGCAGACGAGGCGCTGTGCAAACATCTTTAAAACAAATTACATTGCGCTGTGTGCCATAAAGAACCCGGCGCGGCGCGACCTTCAGAGTGGACAGCGGTCGAGAACAGGTTGAAGAAAAGTACCACAACCAGAACCAGAACCAGACGGCTCGGCACGGCACGGCAGGCGGCAACTGACATTTTGTGGCACGTAATCAGAGAAGCGAATTCATGCGTAATACATATTTCAAGGTTCTTGCCCCATCAAATGTTTAAATATTTGTATATTCAAAAGTAGAACAATAAATATTATAATTATTACAGCCTGTTCATAATTAGAGAAACAAGGGGAGAAACGAGGGAGACTTGGACTTCCACTACGAATCCAAATTTAGCTGAAAACCAGCTTGCATTTTCGGTTGCCAAAGACAATAGCAATGCAATACAATGGCAATACGATGCTCACAATCTTTGGGACAATCTTGTCACGAAATTCTGTCGCAGTCTGTGTCGCTGGCTTGCTGTCTTGCTGTTTTTTTTTTGGAGTTAAAGTCTGGCCCCATCTGCTAGCCCAGGCTAAGTATTCATTAGACGCGCCTACACTTTGGCAGCGACGACGACGACGACGATGGCCCCTTGGCGTTTAGCAATTGCTGGCATTTTGACCTCATGCACAGCTTCGACTGCAACTACAGCCTGAGCCAATCCGGAGTGGGGGTCTTGCCGGCTGACTTTGATGCCAATAGCCGATTAATGGAAGCGCATTGAAATTCCCGAAAACTCAGAGGCTGCCCCATTTTCAGTCAGGTGGCAGCGCTGGCGGGCCTGATGGGAGCGATATCCCCTCCCCAATATCATTTAGAGGCAAGCAAAGATCATTTTTCGTTGGCCGTTTGCTGCTTCCGCCGGCTGATGCAACTACCATTACCGGCAATCTATTTAAATGTGCAGTCTGTCTGCAAAAACCTGAAACAATTGCATAAATTAAACTTAGCACAGAGCTGATTCTGAACTGCTTGCCCAGAACAGCTGAGAGTCGCCTCTGCCGCCAGCGCGCTGGCGTGCCCATGCCCGCTCGGATGCCCATGGACAGACTCGCTGCCTCTGCTGCTCTTTCCGAGCTCTGCGCCGTCGCCGTCGCCGTCGGCGACTTAGGCGTTGAATCTTTATTTTTGTTTTTCTTCTCTCTTTTTTGCCTCTACGTACCACCACCCACCCTCCGCCCATCGCCCGCGCACTCTATTGGCTTTGGTTTCGGTTTCGGTTTCGTACTCGTGTCGCAGATGCTAGCCTCTGTCTGTGTGTTGGTGCGATGCTCTGCCAACTGCACTGCTTGCAGGCGCCCGCCGCTCCGTGCATTTTCGTATAAATAGACTCACCTGCCCGGCATTGGGTATCATTAAATAGGAAACGTTTGTTCAATTAACAACTCCCAGTGCTAGGCCCCAGACTAAAGGATAATTCTGAACTTGGATTACAATTCTGTGTGTGTGTCGAACCCAAACAACATGAAAAATGTAAGTGAATCGCAGAACTTTCTGGGAAGAGCAGGCAGAAGAAAGGTGCAAACAAAAGGATACCTTTCAGAAGCTGTGTTCTCCTTTAATTAAGTCTCAGACGCACCTACTCGCTGTGCACACATTTGGGTAGTCAAAGAGCAGACAGCATAAATCAATCAAAATATAACTCAAGACACCTCAGGGACCTTCGGTAAAACTTCCGCAATTAAAGCACTCCCCAGGTGTGGGAGTCCAGGGCACAGAGGGAACAAAGGAACGGTGGGGTACGGTTGCGGCAACAGTTTGCCATTTAGAGCGCCTAAAAGGCAAAGGCAATTAACGGATGCAGCCAAGACGTGTGCTCGAAATGGCTCTCAACACGAACAGAGCATGCGGGCCGGCCTGCATGCAATTCAAAGGTCAAGCCAACACCTGGCAGCTGTCCATCTGGCCTGCACATTAAACTGAAAAGTTCAGACACGAAAATGGAACCGAAACCCCAAACCAAGATCCATTCAAAGTGCTTTTTGGGGGCAGCCACCAACACCGATTGCCCAAGACTCGATCTGGGGTGAACCTACATTGTAGGTTTCAAAAGAAACCAACAGACTGAGAAGGTGACGATGCTGTCTGGCGACAGAGATGGGACGGACGGACGACCGACCACGCCCCACGATTTTCCATGCACTTTTGTGCACAAGTTAATTGGGAAGACGTCGGGGGTACGAGTGTGTGTGTGTGTGTGTGGAAATGTGGAAAATATTTAATTGGCATCTATTTGCCGACCTCTAGTGGTGTCTAAAACATAGTATGTGAGAACAGCAAATAAAAGCGCTAAGGCAATAAATCTCGGCTCGCTGGTAAACAAGTGGCGGGGTGCGGGACCTTGCATAATATCATCGGAGCACGATTTCAAGATGTTTACTAACTAATCTCAATGCCTCTCTGGCCGTCTTCCCTTTGCAGTTCGCTTTGTGCCTGGTCGCCATGGCGCTGATGTGCCTGATCGAGGCGGCTCCGCAGCGGGCGGAGGAGCCCATTGCGATCATCAGCCAGGAGTCCAATATCGAACCGGATGGCTCCTACAATTATGCGTAAGTAATTAGCTTGCTGAATTAGTTACACTTTTGAAATTCGCGCCTACACAGATGAGCTGAGATGAGATCTAACAAAAGCTGCCGTGCATGAAATCTAAAATTTAGTCTAAATGCATTGCACACTTTCGGGGGGTTTTTAAATTTCTTTGGCTGCACTGCTTACACTCGTGGCGGTCAAAAGAATCTTTTAAACAGGAGAATCATACAATAAACTTTCTATTTTAATCCGCAGATTTGCACTCTCCCCCTAGATCCACTCATTAACAAGCGATAAGCATCCGAAATAGCACATCAAATTTGAATTCTTGAACAATTTGAACGCTCCATCTCGTGTGTCGCATCTGAAAATGTTAAATGTTAAACAGAATGAATAAATTCCATTTGGAATGTGTGTGTGTGTGTGTGGATAAACATGTGTGGCGCCAGCTAGGGTGACTCAATCAAATACCAACAATAACTAGAAATATTTTATATTAGCTAAGAGAAATATCGCAACATTTCAAGGTGATTAACCAGAATTGCCATTTGATTATTTCCATCTTGTCGTGCACTTGCAGCTATGAGACGGCCAACGGAATCAAGGCCGAAGAGACGGGCACCCTGAAGAAGGCCACCTCCCCGGACAGCAGTGACGTGATAATTGCCAGGGGCTCTGTCTCCTACACCTCCCCGGAGGGAAATCTGATCACACTGAACTACTCGGCCGATGATGAGAACGGCTTCCAGCCCCAGGGCGACCATCTGCCCACACCCCCACCAATCCCGCCAGCGATCCAGAAGGCTCTCGACTATCTGCTGAGTCTGCCGCCAGCCAAGCGCCGCTAAGGCTCTTGATGATGCCCGGATGATGCCCTCCAGTCCGACCCATGCCAACACTCTGACCCTGACACTCTACGGTGGATGTGATGCTGCTCTGTTGCTGTTACTACAATACGCTCGTACACCCCGTAATCTGCTATCCCTCCTCCAACTATCTAGACAATCACACAAGGGCTGAGACCTCCCCCGGAGGCTGTTAGTGGATTTGACTGAGGAACACACAAACTCAAAAGGAATTGAGGGACATGACACGAAACACACACACACACACCCCCCATACATGGACTATCCTTACTCCATTTTGTCTGCTTTCTTGCTTGCTTTCTTCCACTTTCACTTTGACTTTGACTTTGACTTTGACACGAATTTCTTCAGATCTTTTAGTCGCCGGAACTTTGCCATTTTCGGACTCATGTGATATCGTCGATTTATCAATGAAATGAAACAAAATGTAAACAAAAACACACAAAAAAAGAACATACAAGAAACAATATACAATACAGGAATATCCCCCCACAGCAAACTTTGTGTAAATAGTCTGTAACATTTAAGCGCTGACGTCGATGGAGGCGAAGAGCCACTCGACGGGTTCTCGCGTCGGAAATTATGTAAACACTCGAGACGACCTATAAAGATATTCGTTAGGCTTAGCTGCAAATAAAGAACTAAGGATTCTTTACAAAAATGAAGCTCTTTCCTGGGTACTTTGTTCTCGATGGCGGCAGCTAATGAATGCAGACAACCCGTTGGGAACGATGCACACCTGAGGACACATCTAGGAATAGCAAGCGAGGGGTTCTTAGATTTATCTGGCATATCATTCACAAGCTGTGGCCCAAAATAACATTTGCTTTTATTTTATCTTTGCACTTCAAGGCGAATGCAAATTGAATACAGGCAGGGCAGGCAGTCGGGCAAAAATGTTGTCACGTTGGTTCCAACGATAACCAGAATCAAAGTGATGATGCGGTGACAAGTTCCCATAGCAGTCGACACGGCATTATTATTATTATTTGTTTATTTGGAAAACAACGTGGAAGCGGCTTGGAGTTGTCTGCACCAAATTTCACACCCATTTTCGAAAGGCCAAAGACGACGATGCGCAGCGAATCGAAACAAGTTCGATATTATTTATTGTCCACATTTGAATTCATGTTAAATATTTTGGCACAGGAATGTTCTCCTCTCGGAAGCGCCTATATAAGAGTCTTTGTTTACCCACTGGAACTGACAGTCGCCGTCGAGACTTGGACGTTGCTTGGACTGTTTTAAGACTATTTTGTTTGACAATGAGAACTCTGCTGCTCTGTTCTGCTCTGTTCGTGGTGGCTGCTTGGGCTGCGGACACGAGTGACCTGATCTCCCAGGAATCAAATGTGGAGTACAACGGCAAATATCACTATCAGTAAGTTCAGAGTTCCCGTGGGAGAGTAACGGCAGGGAGTAACAGCCACATTCTCGCCATCCAGCTATGAACTCGCCGATGGCTCCAAGGCCACACAGGACGGCCTCCTGAAGGCGGTGAATGCCGAGCACGATGGCGAAGCGGTCCATGGCAAATACTCGTTTGTGTCCGACGACGGCCAGACCTATGTGGTGTCCTACACCGCCGACGAGAATGGATATCACGCGGTGGGCGATCACCTGCCCACCCCACCGCCCACGCCCCCGTCCGTTCTAAGGACTCTGGAGTACCTCAAGCTGCACCCCTACACTCCCCCCGAGAAGCAGCACTGAGGATCCGCCAAAAACAAAGCACAAATGTGATTAGAACCAAAAGAACTGAGAACAATTAAACAATACAATGATCAAAGCAGCTCAACTTCCACTCGGAGATACTCGCCCCTGCCTGCGACTGGCTCCATGTGTGCCAAAATGTGTATGAAATTGGGCTTGGTGCTTGCGATTTTGTTGCTCCGCTGCTAAACAATTACTAATTGAAAGCTAAATTGTTGAACAAGCAGACTGGCAAACAGCTGAAGGCCAAGTCCGAGCGAAGATTCAGGCAGAGTAAGCCGCAGAACTTCAGATTCGATTTTATCAGCATCAATATCGTTTCGATTATGTAATCCAGACCGAAACCGAAACCGAAAGTGTGATTTGTTCGTTTCTGGTTTCATTCGTTGGATTAGCAGACAAGTGCTAACTCTAGGAGCATTTCGAATGAGAAAATTCCACCTAAAGGAAAGAGCAAAAGCAGATCCAATCGGATGTGCTTCTGTGAAAGAATTCCCCATGCAAGTTCATTGACCATTCCGCAGAGAGTCTATGACACAATTGTGGTTAATATTCGCAGCATAGAGCCATCGTATGTGTAATGTTGCGAACCTTATCAATTCGATTTATGGCCAACAATACTCTACATTTTTTATGGCCAGCTTTGTCTTGTGCCCACCGTTCGCCGTTAGAGGCCCGGGCAGGCTTTCGGGCAAATTATTTCCATAATTGAAACGTGTCCGCCATGCGCAATCAGCGGAGTATTCTGACTGCCTCATTGGGTCTGATTGGGTTGTAGAAACATTCCCGAAGTATGCTCTGCCTCAACTCAAATCCTTAACGGAATCCTCAACGGAACTAAGCTGCGTTCTGGCCCAAGAGAATGCTCAGAGTGCGAGTGCTCAGAGCCATCACGTAGCTGTCGGTGGGGTGTAGACGGGGGAGAACTGTCACCTGTTGACACCGTCGCTTCATCTTCATCTTCTGCTCTGCGATCTGGCGGTGTGATCTGATGTTTACTCACTCATCGCTGGCAATAAAACTGAAACGCTTATCTAGTGCGCCCATCGCAATGGCAAGCACTCGCCAGCAGCGCAGCCGCAGAGCCGCAGAGCCGCAGCCCAGACCACTGACAGACTATAAAAAGCGACGGCGCGGCTGTGGCAGTCAACAGTCGCACCACCGCAATCTGCTGGATACCGCCCGCACCCTCGCATTCAAGGAACACCCAAGGATAATCGCCGCCATTCAGAATGTACAAGTTCATCTTCATCGCCTGCTCTGCCATGCTGCTTGGCTATGTCCTGGCCCGGCCACAGGAGCAGCGCGCTGGGGGCACCACAACGACAACAGCTGCCACCATTGTGAAGCAGGATAATGTGAACAATGCCGATGGCAGCTTCAACAGCAGGTGAGTAGAGGGCCTTTGGCTTGAACCAGAATGCGAGTACTAAGAGGAAACCTTCGATGCAGCTACGAGACATCGAATGGCATACGCGTGGAGAACATTGGCTACCTCAAGAAGATCATCATACCCAAGACGGAGACAGCCGATGGCCAGGTGATCGACGAGCACGAGGAACTGGTCCTGGTCCAGACGGGCTCGTACAGTTACAGCGACCCGGAAGGCAACCTCATCACCCTGCGCTATGTGGCCGACGAGAATGGGTTCCAGCCCGAGGGCGATCATCTGCCCGTGGCACCGCAGTAATTCTGCTGGCAGCCGAGTGCCCGTCCCGTCCTACTTCGGTATAATATTTGGACTTTAAGTATTATGCACTGCCTGAATGCCATCCGAAATTGAAATGTTTTGTGTAAACCTTACCTTCCGTAGTTAGTCTTAAGCAAACACACACACACACACACACACAATCACCTCGCACTCCGCTCCGGCTCGAGAAATAAATATTCGAAACGATAATGAAAATGACAACACAGATAATAGGTATGTGCGTATGTACATATGAAGAGTTATTTGTCCCATTGCCGGGTGCTTCTCAGCCTCGAATGGCCTATAATATTACCAAACCTTACCCATTACCGAATTTGCCCTTCACGCTTGCGGTTAAGGCTGATGCTGATCGCTAGATGCTGTGGTTAGTGATGATATTTACTCGCCATTTGCACTCGCCAGCATATGGTGGGGCACACCAGAATATCGAACAATGGCCAAGACATCGGGGCAGGGAATGATCATTTAATTGCTTTACACTTTGCGCAATTAAACTGCCATTAGCCTGTGGCATGGGGCATTTCATTTCACCAGAGTCGAGGCGAATACATCAATTGATCGTCAGCAATTGAGACAGCGAAATGTGGACACTGATTTGGATTATCGCCTGTATGGCCAGCTTCCTGCAGACTCCGCAGCCGGCAGCAGCGGCCAACCTTTTGCCAGTAAGTTCCTGTGTGGATCTGTACTCAAATCTAGAAATTGCCATGGTCCCAAGCAGAGCGCCAACTTCGTGGAGATGACCCGAATGGATTGCGTGGGGAATCCCACCTACTTTGCCCATCTAAATTGCAAGATTTTGCCACCGCTGAACAGGACCTTGGAGTTCTCTGCCGAAGTTGTGAAGAGTCTTCCCGCATTGACTGGCTACCTCAGGGTATCCCTGCCCAACCCGAAGAAGGTATTCACCCAGATATTCGACATCACCTTCGACGTGTGCAAGGCTATTCGGGATCGCAATCGGAGACTGCTGATTGATTTTTTGGTTCGAACCTTGGCCCGAAACAGCAATGTTGTCATGCGCTGCCCCTTCCCAAAGGTAAGATCTCCGAACCCAGTGGTCTCTGTACTCAATTCCACACTTTCCAGGGTAACTACTACTCGAAGAACATATCGGTGAACGACCTCCCGCCCATGTTAACCGAGAACGATTTCATGGCAAACTTTGACCTCTTCATACCCAAAGTGGCCGTCTTGTTGAATGTGACTCTGCAGGGGCACCTCTTTGACACTGCCAAGGAGAATGCCAGAAAAAAGAAATATCTTTAATGCTTTCAACCAGCAATTGCAGCTCAATATCAATTAAATTGGAGACTTTCTTATCATTGTAACCAACGATTTAAATATTTTTGAAGTGGCGCCATTGAAAGTCAGCGGAAAAATTTTCAAATGGTTTGTCCGATGCGCCGACAGGTGTCGCCGCATGCCGACATGTGGTTGGAATTGAGTACGACTATCGGACGAATAAGACAACATCGGCACTGACAAAACTGAACAAATATTGTACAACTCTCTCTCTCTCTCTTGCTTAAACTTTCTTTTCGGGGATTTATATTTATTAAAGAACAGAACTTGGCATACAGATCTTCTGCTTGCTGCTTATGATATTCTAAAACCAAATCATATCTTTTGTCATCTTCTGAACATCACTGGAAGTGACACTTTTCCATCGCCACATTGGCTTCCGCTGCCATCTTAATATTTGTATCTGCCCGGTTTCCATCAACAGCCTCCGACTGCATACAAATGTTTTATGGAGCCATTATTGTTCGGCACGAGTATTCTAATTTGAATATACGCTGTTACGCGGAATTGATCGCTTTAATTGTTGATCAATTACTTGAACACAGATTATGCTGTGGATTTCTATTACTCCCAAAGGTTGGCGCCAGCCAGCCTCAGTTGGAGCACGACGGATCGAGAGAGATGTTCTACCCATGGCTAATCTTAGCGGTAGCAATCCTCATCATCATCACTGGCGGCGAGTCCAAGGTACGCATGTTATCTATCAAACAAACTCTAATATAACCATTTTGCTACAGCACAGATTTCTGAGGTGGGACTCTTTCGAATGCCGAATATGTGTGCCATATGCAGAAAATCTGAAATGTCAGATCGCAGGGTCAAGGCAATCGTTCTTGAATCTGGAAGTCAATTTGCTGAAGGCACTACCATCAATTAGGACGTATGTAAAAATCTCTACCCGGTCCAAGCCTTCAGAGCAGTACCGGAAGCTCTTTGACTTTACCTTCGATGGCTGCCGTGTAATGTCGGATGTGGCAAAAGAAAAGACCATGGTGTCCAGGCTCTACAATGCCGTGGTCAAAAACAGTAATCAGCCGCAAAAATGCCCCATAAAACAGGTACTTCAATCAGATAGCAACTGACAACTCAGAGACATTTCTCCATGATTTCAGGGCTTCATTTACTACCGCAACATAAGTATTGAGGAGGTTATTCCCTCGTTTCTGCCTGAAAGCAGTTTTATGGCGCAGGTCAATTTGTCCCATCTGAAGAAATCGTACTTTAATATTACTCTAAGAGGAGATATTTCATCAAATTAAAACAATCCGCACAATAAAATTCTGTCATTTTTTGCAGGCAACTCAATTGGATTGAACGTATTTTTGTGGACTCGTGATTCCACTTAAAAATCAATCCAAAATACCAATTACTGGGGTGTAATTAACCGCAACTGTTTAAATATATAAACATTGATTGGACTCTTCAGTCAGCCAGACAGTTCTAATTGTTCGCAGCTCCCCAATGGACACATATTACTGGATCTTCCTGATCATTTTTCTACCCGACCATGGGCACACAGCGAAGGTAACTAGCCAAGAAAAGAATGTAGAAATTAAATGAATCAATTCTATTATAGATTTCGCATTCCAATAAGCGCCTGAGTCTGCTGTGGAAAAGCTTCAGTTGCGCAACGAACCCTGACCACATGGGCAGGCACAAATGTTTCATCCTGGATAACGATAAGTCAATTGTTAGCTCCGAGTTTGAATATCTTCATGGAGTTGCTCAGATGAATGCCACGTTTAAATTGTTTTTGCCTCGACCACCGTTCAAAGAGTACCACAAGATGATCGATTTGAATGTGGATGTCTGTCAGTTTTCCAAGGGCTTGTATGGCCACAAGTTCATTTCAGTTATCGTGAGGGCGCTCGGCAGTAAGGCCAGCCTGCAGCTGAGCTGCCCCCGTCCAAAGGTGAGCAACGATTCCAGATTCGTTTTTCCACTAATCCCACTTCCAATTTTGTTCTCTCTAGGGCCTCTACTCGTACACAAACATAAGCGTTGCCGAACATTTGCCAGCCTTTTTGCCAGAAACCGAATTTAAGATCGAAATCAATTTCCTAACACCCGTCGCTTACTTGATTAATGCGAGTCTCCATGGCGTGCTTTACGATGCGTCCAAAAAGAGGGAATAATAACATAATTTTCAAACTAAAAATATATCTAAATTGAAAGCAGCAGAATAATGCAGAAGAACAAATATTTTGGGCAAACGCAGCGCCAGAAGAAGCTAAGAAAATGAAAAGAAATAAACGAAAGCACTTTGGAGCGAGCTTAGGAATTAATTTGATTCTTGTCTCCTACAACGTACGTGATCTTTATGTCAAGCTCTGTAGACGAAACGAAACTGTCATTGCTTTACGCTACTGGAGCATTATTTACGATTCAAGCTCAAGATTCGCAGCCATTGACAAGAGATTTCACAACCAACAGCCGGGAAATTTATGGCCAGCATCGGGGTTCTGTAAACCAGTCGCTGGCTCAGCGGATGACACTCACACACAGAGAGCCCACAGCCAAAACCCAAATGTCAAATGTTGTCCATAAGAACAGGCACAACAGCAGCAGCAGCAGCAGCAGCAGCCGGAGAAGATCACGCCAAATGCTAAGAATGTAAGGGTGCAAATCATTTGACATTTACCGCTGTCTGCCCCGTTTTGGATCGTTCGGATGTTGCAGATCCCCAAAAGTGCTGCGTTCAGTGTGTGAGTGGGGCAAATATGGTATGGGTGCTACAATCGAGAGCTAACCTTGCCTAGCTTTCCATTTCATTTTCTTTTTGGTCCGTGCAACAGCAGCAGCAACAGAAGTTGCACAACTAAGTGACTCACCAGACAAGGAGAGGACGAGGAGGCTTGGTTGCTGTGTTGCAGTTGTGGGTGCGGACGAGAGCGAACGAGTGCCGACGAGGCGTGGAGCTCCGAGCAGCGAAGAGGTCGTTTGTTGCAATAGGCGTCGGTTCGCCCGGTTTTTATACCCTCCCTAAGGGTACTATATCCATACACAAGCAGCTTGCTTACTTCATCAGCTAAAGGAACCATCATTCGTGGGACAATTCTCGTTTGTGTCTTGTATTTATATTCAGCTGAACGCTGGCCCAAGGGTATCTTAAGCTGCGATCAGTCGTGTTTTTTTTTGGGTTTTTGCCGGTGGTTCTTCGGCGGGTTGTTCAACTCGCTGCGGCATTGTGTTGCAAGTGTTGGATCTCGATGATTGTTAAATTAATCTTTTTTCCTCGCATTGCTGCTGATTTGGATTCTCTTCAAATTGTTGCAGATTAACCCAATTGTATGGCAACTAATTAACATTTGCGAAGACAAGAGAAGGCCCCGTTGCGCCCCGTATTGAACTCAATTATCGTCTTGCCTCACCGGCGAAAACACTTGAGAGTGTTACAACAATTTTCGTTTCAGTTCGCTTCTGGTGGTGTTAGTATGTCACTCTCCTCACGAATGCCATCCGATGGCATCCAATCCATCCACGAATCGTCTGCAATTACAAGAATTCCGAAAACGAATACGAATCTGAAAACGAATCCGAAGCTGCTGCTGCACTTCGTGCAGAGAGCGAGAGAGCAGCGTAATCTGCATTTGGCAAAGACAACAACTAAAGCAAAAAGCAAGAGACAAAACAAAAACTCGTTCTGGCTTGTTTCTAAATAACGGCATTACGAAGATGAACGACCGGACGAGCGCACAGATGGACAGACAATTCGCAGACATTTGAGCTGTGCTTATACATATTTACATATGTATGTACATTCCAAACAATCCAAATGTATGCAACCGAAGACCCACTGCCTTAGGTGGGGGCCAGAGTTTTTGCATCTTTAGGCAGGGCCCCTCAAGAACCGAGTGGAGTCTACTAGAGGCAACGGAACACCCTTTTTTCATGCAAGAAATTAACATACGTATGTACATATGTATGTGCATATACATATATATTTGTAGTATGAATTTAAAACTCTAAATAAATTCCTCCTCGCCTTGCCAAATAATGGGAAAACTCTGGTACAGACTTCAGTAAGAGCGACAGTGAATTGTTGAGATTTTTCATTTTAACATTTAAGCGTCACTGAGCCTACAAACAACAATTACCCATCGTGGATCGCTTGGATCGGACAACTAAAACAGCAGAGCAGCAGAGCAAAGAGAGCTGCAGCAAGAGCAACTTTGGCCAATGCAACTATGCAGCCTCTCCATCAGCCGCTGCATCTGCTGCTCTATCGCTCTCCCGCTGCACCACTGCCACTGCTGTGTGGGTAATGAACGAGACCAGATGTGCAGGAGGAGGAGGAGGCGAAGCCAGTGTCGGAGCGATTCGCCTATATAAGGCTTAAATAGGGCCGCGCTTGGCACAGTGTTTGACGGAGTTGCTTTCACTTGCCAGTCGTAGTGTCAGCCAAACGGGCGACAAATCGGTCCAAACAAATAATTACCAATCCGAGTGGAGACAAGATACAGACAATTCCTAAAAAAATGAAAGTGCTCGTAAGTTCCCCATACCATTCCGTCCCATGACATCCCAGCTATCGTTGTGATTTGTGTGAACTGTGAACTTAAACTGCAAATATCGTTTGCAGATACTCATCGCGATGCTTTTCCTGTCCTGCCACGGACAGCACCAGCACCAGCACCAACACCAGCAGCAGCAGCAGCACCATAACCAGCATCACAGCGCCAATAACATACCGCGGGACGAGAAGCCCGACCATCATCGTCACGAGGATCTGCGAGAGACGAGCACATGGATACCCATTCTGAAGTACAACAAGGAGCAGAGCGAGGATGGCAGCTACAAGACGGAATACGAGACGGGCAACAACATCATCCACGAGGAGACTGGCTTCCTCAAGGACTTTGACACGAATCCGAACGGGGTTCTGGTACAACATGGCCAGTACTCGTACCAGTCGCCGGAGGGCCAGCTGGTAAATGTTCAGTATACGGCAGATGAGAACGGCTTCCGTGCGACAGGCGACCACATACCCACACCGCCCGCCATACCCGAGGAGATCCAGAAGGGTCTGGACCAGATCTATGCTGGCATCAAGCTGCAGCAGGAGCGACTCGAGCAGCGGGCCAAAACGGATCCAGACTTTGCCCGAAAGCTGGAGGAGCGTCGCATTGCCAATCAGAATGGCCAATATATCGGTCTGCTCGAGAATCAGTAGAATGAGAATCTTCCGAAACTAAACCCTAACCCCCACCGTACCGATTATCCTGGAAACGTGAACTTTGCTATACTCATTCCTGCCACAACATCTACAACAATAAGACTGTGATTTCATTTGCGAACTCTTCCAAAAATATCCATCTGTAATCTGGAACCATTCTCCGATTAACTAACTCCAAATTTGCATAAATAAATAGGTTCCACTCGGAAAAACACACAAGACGCACTCATCGGACACCTCTCAATAAACTATTATTTTGTTAACGAGTGTGAAAGTTTTGCCGCTTTAAAACAATAAAAGAAAAACTAACGTTTCCATTATGCCGAACCGACTTGATGATTTTCCCATTTGGTTTCCCTGCTCCTCCAGACGTGACACAGCGTTTATGGGGTCTTCATTATATATTTTCCTTATTTATTGTTTCATTGCTGTTTCACTGTTTGTTTTCACAGATCGAGTTTCCTCCGCTCTGTAAGTTTGTTGATCCCATTCCATGCAGTGCAGTTTGCGCTTTTCCAATTTTCCATATTTCTACATCGACAGACGTCGACTCTCCCGTCTTCTTCGCCTCGTGCTGGTGCTGCTGCTGCATAAGTGCATACTTTATGCTTGGATATTTTGTGTCGAGAGCCTCCGACTGGTTGCTGGTTGCATAATTATGACAGTTTGCGGGAATTGGAATTGGAATTGGGAGTGGGTACGGGGAGAATGAGTTCCACGAGCCATGCGTAAGTGGTCCATGAATGGGTTAGTGGCACAACTCCAGGCAGTCTTTCTACTCAATCCGCCAATTATTTCATGAACTCATGGCCCACAACTATTTTACCGTTGGCCATCGGTGAAAAGAAGCCCTTAGCCGAACAAGCAAAGAGATGAACCAAAAATAATAGTCATCTGGCCGAAAGAACAAACACCAAGCGGGCAGAAATCAGCTAAAGATTTTGTGCCACGAAACGGCAAATTATTTGGCCACATATTTGCATAAATGTGAGCATACACCTGCGGTCAACATACAAGTTATTTCATTAAATATCTAAATATTTTTCCATTTTTAAGAATGCTTCTAAGAGTTCAAAACTATTGTTAAAACCATAGTCAAAGATGAAACAATTATTTTGAAGATATAGAAAATGTCAATGAACTGTAAATCTTTTGTACGTACATTTTCGTTTCGAAAACATGTGGAATATATAATAGTTTAAGCTTCGCAAATTAATAATTGAATATTTTTCTCAAAACCACTAAAATAAGATGGATATATTCTAACAATTCATTGTAATTTGTCTTTTATGCTCGAAGCAATCATCTTGGCTGTGTGGCCTTATTGCTTACATTTTTGCGCCCCATGCTGTAGAATGGTATGTGTTTAGAAATATGGAGAATCCGCCAACAAATAAATCAATTCCGCTGCATTTTCACCGCCACGGCAGGCAGCGCGCGGCATAGACCCCAAAAGCCAAACTCCAAAGACTGTTTATTCGCCATTAAGTTTCAACGCTCTTGCGCATAATTAAAATGAAAAAAAGCCAAGTTTAACAATGGAAAAATTTCTATGGCCTGTGATTAGAAAGAATCTTTCTTCTGGGCTTTAGTGTCTGACCAGAGCAGTGGTTGGTGCTTTGAATTGATTTGGCCAACGTCAGTTGCCGTTTAGAAGCCGTCGCGTGCAGATCACAAAATCATCGTCAACGGAACGGGGAACGATCTTCGGAAGAAACCTGGAGAATTCGCGGGAGCGTTAAACCGAGAAGAGCAAAGCTAGCGGTGCCGCTACAAGTGGTGGAGTGGGCAGTGGAGTGAAAAGAAATGGAGAGAAGTGGTGAAGAGGAGAGCAAGAAGTGCGTGCGAATATCGAATTGAATTGACATCGAAGCACCGTTAGAGCGCGCAAACAATGGATTGATATTGTGGCCGCTGAAAACGAGAAGTAAACAAAAACAATAAAGAGCCCTGACAAAAACTAACTGTAAAATATATGTATGTGTGTTTGTATGTATACACACACACTTTAGCAATCAGCACAAGTGGCACACCAAAGGCCGCGCTAATATAAACTGAAATCGAAAACGAAATAAAAAACAAAATAAAAAAGTTAAAGATTCGAAAATGATTACTCACCCGCTCGAGTGGATGCTGTGGCTAATGGCCCTTAGTGTCAGCTGTCACCTGATTGCCAATGCCCAGCAGCTGCAGGGCCCACCGCCCCGTCCACGAGGACGTATACGCATTTCGGATATGCAAGCCCAGATCCCTGGCCCAGACCCACTGCTACGAAGCTGGCCCATCAGTTCCACGGTGCACACACACATTCCGCTGCTGAGAGAGGAGAGTGGTCGGCCAGCCATGCCCAGGCAGGAGTCATCGGTGGTGTACGGCAACTGGAAGCCGGAACATCCAGAAATCCCCTACGACGCAGACGCGGATCAGCAGCCCAAGGAGCGAGTCTACGGCCGTTTGGAGGCCATGCTGATGGGATTGCCAGCAGAAGGTAAGAGTTCATCCCTGACTTTCGGAATCATCTATCCCTAAGCCCATTCATTGCAGGCGTGGACTCGAAACCGTCCAGATCCAGCGAAGAGCAGCAAGCTGCCATCGCTCCTGGAGGCTATCAGAGTCCCGGCATTGCGCGTCCTGCCAGCTTTGAGCAATCGATGGAGAAGCATGGACGACGGCGCGTAACCTCCCAGAAGCTGCCTCACCAGTTCGAAGTAGTAAGGATGAATGCAACCGATCCTCGGCTCAGGGCCATGGCCTCACAAATCAATGAATCGGTGGAGACGACAACGGCAGCAACACGTCCCTCACAATCAACCACGGACGACAACTGGATGCCTTTGCCGTATCCCTATCCCTATGACACCACAGTGCCGGCACCTCCTTCAACCAGTTCAAGTCTGCCGCAATCGTCCATGGTGCACCCTCCGGCGCCCACTCAAGCCACGAGCTCAACTACGGTCTCGCTCAACTGGCCAACAGATTTCATAGACAGCTCCTCCAACACAGCGAGCACCGAGCCGGAGCGCGTCGATGCCAATCTTAGCATGAACATTGACAGACGCGACGACAGCGTTGGTGATTCCTTAGATGACTACAAGTACTACGAGGATTCGCTCAACTCCGCACAGATGCACAGCGAGCTCAGTGTGCCGGACACCCAGGCACCGCAGCAGCCACTCAATATCACCCGCGTCGGGATACCCTACGAGGAGCGGAACGCGGCCGAGGAGCCCACCATATGCGTGCCCCTAACCGTCACAGAGACATCACTGGCCTCGGACAGTGCCACGCCTCTGGTACTGGAGGTGGAGCGTGTCTACTGCTTTCCCCTGCCCAAGGTGGAGGTGCGTACGGGCAACGTCATTCGGCAACAGGTGGAGCAGATAACGAGGTCGAGTCTGGGAGAAATTCCCGAAATGGACATGGAGCCCACGGAGCAGCCAATGCCAACCGACGTGACAGCCGGGGCTGCCAGCCAGAGCAGCACCCTCTCTATGACGCTGCTCCTCCTCCTCCTCATCGGTTACAGTACCTGGCCAAGGATTTGGATTTAGAATAAGAATTATCACAGATCACTTAATAACTCAGGGGCTAATCGTAATATACAATTAAGGCAAAGCAAAGGCACTGCAGATGCTCTTTAAACAATAAACCACGAATCGGATTTCATTGAACGATAAGCTCTTATCATTGTTTGTGTTTGGCATGATAAGAGCTGCCTGCCTATTCCCCATTCATAAACAGAATAGTCAGAGCCATGATTCAGATCGGGAAAGCCAAACAATATCAAACAATTACCTGTTCGCTTCTGCAATTATCTTCGATACTAAAGAGTCTTTTAATTAACTAATGAAAGCATTGAAAAGATTTATGCATCACACACAAATCTCACTTGTCACTTCCCTTTTGAGCAATGAAAATGTCGCGTGATGCCTTCCTTAAAGTCTTGCCATTGACATTGGCTGGCAGCTTGTCGATGAATTGCACTCCAGCGTGCAACTGCTTTGTCACCGCACCGGGAAACCGCTTGGCCACGTGATCCGAAATGTCCTTTGCTGTGATAACAGCTCCTTTGGTCATGACCACCAATGCGCCGGCTGCGTCTCCCTCTCGCTCATCGTAGATGCCAACCACGCACACGTCCTGCACTTGCGGCAGCTCCCTTATGACACTCTCGATCTCGGTGGGCCAGTAGTGCAGGCCCTGGTACTTCAGGATCTCCTTCTTGCGATCGACTATGTACAGGAAGTTCTGCTCATCAAAATAGCCCAGATCGCCGGTGTGGAACCAGCCCTCTGCGTCCTGCATCTGAAGTGTAGCCTCGGGATTCCCGAAGTAGCCATTCCATGCCTCTCCCTTGTGCACAAAGATCTCTCCGACCTGATTGTATGTCAAGTTCTTTCCGTCTTCGTCCACAATGCGCATTCTGACTCCTGGCATAGGTTTGCCGGCCGATGCTATATTGCTAATTCCAAGGTTACTCGTTATGATTAAGGTCTCCGTGAGTCCATAGCCGGTGGTTAGCATCGCATTCTTGCAGAGCTCTTGGGTCCGCTGTAGGGTGGCCTTCGAAACCGTGCCACCGACATAGGTAACACTCTTTAAGGGTGCCAGATCGTCCGGCGTGACATTCGGATAACTAATCAGAGCGGAGATATGACCGGGCGGCAGCACGACGCTGTCAATTTTGTACTTCTTCACCAGCTGCACAAAGTACTCTGGACTAAAAGGTTTGTTGGTAATGACTCTGGTTGCACCAAACACAGTGCTGAAGATAAACGACACCACGCCGGTGACCCAGTCCAGGCCACTCGATGATAATATCGTTAGTTCGCTGTTTATGAAGCTGAAATAAAATAACATTAAACAATATAAGTTCAACAGTATTAGTTAGGTGTAGAAACTCACGGGTTCTCTAGCGTTAGAACATTGTTGGAAATGCAAACGGCCTTGGGCAGGCCGGTTGTGCCCGAGGAGCACAGAATGAGCATGGTCTGGTCTCCACCCTCAATCAATGGCTCTGGCCTAAAGAGTATTTCTCGCTAGTTAAAGTCTCTTCTTCAGTCTCTTCCACTCACTGGTACATCGCTTCGGTTGTTGTGGGTTCCAGCAGATCCTCAATCTTGAGCACTCCCTCGATGGGTTCTGTGATAGTACAGATCTCCGGCTGCCAGCCCACAGTAGCCGCTCGAACCTGCTCGTACACATTTCCATCGCAGAATATCAGAGTTGGTTTTGTTATTGTGAACACATGGGAGATGGTAGCTGCGTTAACAGATTTGTCAGAGATTACTCAGAGATATCAGAGACATCTCCTGATGTCAGTACAAACCTTCATCTATCGACGCATTGACCGAGTGGAATGGTGTGCCATTCATTAGACACGCCAGCCCCAGGGGCATTAAATAGGTACAGTTCTTGGCCACAATACCAATGACATTCTTGTTGTTGAGGGCACGCTTCTTGAAGTGCTGGGCAATCCGAATAGCCCAGGTGAGACCCTGTTCGAAGGTGACTGTGCCTCCATCAATGTCGTTTATCTGCAGCGAAGGGATGTTAAACTATGTGGCGATCCCTTTCTGGTTCTGTCTCACCTGCCACACGTTCTTGGGCCAAATTCTCATGGTATTGAATATTATTTTACCGATGGAAGTGTCATAGTGATATGTGGGTCTGCGCTTGGCTCCACTCCAAATTCTTTCCCTCTCATCGTATGTTGTGGGTAGTTCCATGGTAATAATTCTGCCGTGCTATGCTCCCTATCGCCGCCTTTGTCGATAATGCACTGTGCCTTGACAGTTGTGGCAGAAACTATTTAAGGGTAACCAGAGCTTTCACGACTGTGCTCTGTATCAGTGTCTGGAGTCGATAGTCCATCACAAGCCGAATGTTGCTGCTCCAGGGCCTCGACTAGTTGTTACCATGCACACGCTTTTTAATATATCATATAGCCATCAGACTGGAGAGTCTAAACTATATTTATCCCAAATACCCACTACTCACAGATATAATCAAACGTGCACATAATCGTTAGTCAGCCGTTTTCCATATCTTATCATTCCAAATCGAATAACAGAGAAGCTGCCAGTCATCTTTAGTCAGCTGATTGTTAATGCAAAATGAACCTACTTTGATTGAGGAGGGTTCTGCTACTACATGCTCTTACTCGTATGTTCTATGTTGGCAAAAAGCCCTCTCTCTCTCTCTTTCTCTTAAGACATTTAAATCCAGCGATTGATCCGATCATGCTTAAATCTGAAACCATTCCGGCCTAAAAGTATGCTACTAAAATGTGGATAGCTTTCAATGGACATAATCCATATATTTGAATGACTTGGCTATAAACTACTTTTTGGGTAAGCTAATTACAAGCACAAATGCTAAGAGACAAATCTATTATATCATTATTAATTAATTTATTTTCCTTCTTTATTTCTGATTCATATCTCTGCCAAGGGAATGTTTATGCGGAATCTACGCTGCAGGCTATAATCTTTGGCCATAATCTCAGCAATTTCACAATTGAGAAAGAACTATTACCTGAAGTATTGCTCGTTAAAACTACTGATTAGCTTTATCCACAACCTGGCTAAAGTTAGTGCTGAATCAATCCATAGGCACATGTAGATTATCATAATTCTTTTTTTATTTTTTGTTTTTGTTTCTTGCTTTACTCTTTATAGATATGGCAGTTCATTCATAAGATCTGCATCTTATAAGCCATGCGTAAACAGTATTATTCCTGTTTTTGTGAACAAAGTTCCCTCAGCTTGTTGTCGAGTGCTCATAACTGAAGCACTCCAGTTTGAAAATGAATCGTTTAACTTATCTAATGTACTTATGATTACAAAATGTACATGGGTATATACTTGGATCATTCAGATCCTACTTAGCTGTCCCGTTTTGGGCAACAAAAACGTCGCGTGCCGTCTTGCGCAACGTTTTGCCATTGGCATTGGCCGGTAGCTTGCCGGTGAATTGCACTCCGGCGCGCAGTTGCTTTTGGGTTGCGGGTAGCCGCTTGGCCACGTGATCCGAAATGTCCTTTGCGGTGACAACAGCTCCTTTGGTCTTGACCACCAATGCGCCGGCTGCGTCTCCCTCTCGCTCATCGTAGATGCCAACCACGCACACCTCCTGCACTTGCGGCAGCTCCGATATGACACTCTCGATTTCGGTGGGCCAGTAGTGCAGGCCCTGGTACTTCAGGATCTCCTTCTTCCGATCGACTATGTACAGGAAGTTCTGCTCATCGAAATAGCCCAGATCGCCGGTGTGGAACCAGCCCTCGAAGTCCTGCATGCGGCGGGTCTCCACTGGGTTGCCGTAGTAGCCATTCCAGGCCTGACCCGTGTGCACATAGATCTCTCCGACCTGATTGTAGGTCAAGTTCTTGCCATCCTCGTCGACAATGCGAATCTTAACCCCTGGAACGGTTCTGCCCGCTGAGGCGAAGTTGCTGATTCCAATATTGATGGTGATGGCTCCCACCTCGGTCATTCCGTAGCCGGAGTTGAACATGGCGCGTTTGCACAGTTCCTGAGCACGCTGCAGTGTGGTTGTGGAAACCAAGCCTCCGCCATAGTTCAGGTGCGTTAGTGGTGCCAACGCCTCCGGAGTGGCATCCGGACAGCTGATCAGGGCCGACAGATGACGGGGCGGCAGCACTGCATAGTTAATCTTGTACTTTTTTACCAAGCCCACAAAGTTTTCAGGGGTGAAGGGCTTGTTCGTAATGATGCGAGTGACACCAAACACAGCGCTAAAGACGAATGCCCACAGGCCCGTGATCCAGTCCAGGCAGCTGGCAATAAAGATAACCGATTCGCTGTTGACCAACCTGCGAACGAGTTTACGAGTGAGCTTCAGTCCGAGCAGTCGATGAAGAAGAGTTCATTTTAGCCAACTTACATGGTATCTTGTATGAGGTTACTGTTGGAAATGCAAACGGCCTTGGGCAGACCAGTTGTTCCCGAGGAGCACAAAATAGCGACAGTCTGGTCGCCTCCGTCCTTCAAGTTCTCCGGCCTAAGAAACAACTTGGGTTATTCTCTGTGGACTAAACTGCCTCATTCCACTTACTGGTACATCTTCTCAGTCGATGTGGGATCCAGCAGAGTTTCAATCTTGGGCACTCCCTCGACGTGGTCCGTGAGAGTGTAGATCTCCGGGTGCCATCCAATGGTTGCGGCATGCACCTTCTCGTACTCGTTGCCATCGCAGAATATCAGAGAGGGCTTGGTTATCGAGAAGACATGGGTGATGGTAGCTGCATTCAGGTGTTTCCGGATAAGTCGGTGAGTTTTTACTTTGAAGGGCACAATGGGAGTACAAACCTTCATCCAGCAAGGGATTGACCGAATGGAATGGTGTTCCATTCATTAGACAGCCCACGCCGAGCGGCATCACATAGGTGGAGTTTTTCGCTGCAATTCCAATGACGTCCTTGTAGTTGAGTCCACGCTTCTTTAAGTACTGAGCGATCCGAATGGCCCAGGTGAGACCCTGTTCAAAGGTGACTGTCACGTTGTCAACATCGCATATCTGGAGTGGAGTCGAGTGATAATCTATAAGTGTGCCTGGCGATGGATCCTTGGCAGTGAACACACTTACCTGGCACACGTTTTTGGGCCAGTTGTTCATGGTGTTGAAAATAATTTTACCCACAGACGTGTCATAGTTGTACATGGAGTTACGCTTGGCTCCACTCCAGACACTATCCTTCTCGTTGTAAGAGGTGGGTATCATTGCCATGTTGGGTCTCGGGTTTCTGGAACAAACTGGCACGCCGTCACAAACTGCAGTCAACTATAGGGGTCTGGGCCAGGTGCAGTTCTATTTATAATGATCCAAGGCTGTGAAAATCCAGGCCGTGGACGCCTTGAGTGGATCCACTTGCAAGCGGCTAACACCTGTAACATCTTATCTTGTTCCTGGAGAAGATAGTGCACCGCCTGAAGAATGTTGTGAGGATGAGCCATGGCATGCCTGTTGGATACCCTGTACAAACAGAACTATTGAAGCAAATGCATATCCTAGTTTTCCACCATTCTTCTCTTTGGAGGAAAACATTTATAGGCTATTCAATAATGCCTTAGAGTACGTTAACGCTTGAGTATGCAACTAACCATAGGTAATATGTTTAGTAATTGGCCCTATCTAATCTTTTTAATTCAATACTGAATCGAATCAAAGTGGGAAATTCCAAATCACGAGAATTACGCTATTCGTGCCCCAGGAAGCTCCTCGCTGGTTTATGACATTTACGAGTTTTACTTATAAGATTTGCACAGTTCAATTTAATGAGCGCTAATCCGCAAGAGACTTCGTCATTCTTGGTTCGAAAGTGTAGGGTTCAGACTGAATTGTTATAACAGTCAGAATGAGGAAATTCATTTGCAGTGGCTCATCATAAGCTCACATATGTCTTTGGCGCTAATCAATGATATAACAAATTTTGCATAATATAGAAACATTGAGGCATTATTATTTTTAAGAGCAGAAAAGAAAAGAAGAAAGAAATTGTATTATTAAATAATGGAAACAGGGTACACAAAGGCCCATAATTCTGGCTGGCCAGCAACAAATTGTCAAATAACGTAACAAAACATTCTAAAAACGTAGAGTTTATTTATTTGATTTGTTTTCTCACCATTTCAGCTAAATCGTTATTTTTGTAAACAATCTAATAAAAGAAGTCATGAAGAGTAGACCAATCTTGGGGTGAATGTATTGTACAATCGTAGAAAATTCCAGTTTCACGGCTGAGAGTTTTCGTTTGATGGCAATATTAAACAGAACATTAAAATCGAGAAAATATATCATTAACCGAGGCCGATTAACCTTCTGTTGACCAATGGGTGTTTAAGTGCAAAGTAGGTAATAAATTAAACTTAAAGATTATTGGCGCCGTTAAGCTGAATGAAACGGAGCCTGTTCGAATTTATTCGTAAACAGGGAGGCTGCGTGGCTACAATAAACATTTACAAGAAGATTTATTTCCCCAATTTGGACAAAGTGTTTTCCTATTTAAAAGGCGGGCGTTTAGTGGGTTAAGTTTGAACATTCACTCGGAACGAGACATGTAAATACCAAAAACAAAAAAATTCACGAATTCACGGTCGCGGTCAACAATTTATATAATAATATGTTTAGCTAACGAGAAATAACAATTGGATCCGATCGTAAATAGCCCCTCCCCCACCATGTTTCGTCGTCAATTTGGTGTTATAATCCGCTGTACGCGACATGCGACACCACTGTTGTGCAGAACGCACCGACTGGTTGCAATCCAAACCTGCCATGCGAGTCGATTGAGTCCTTTTCCGGAATATGAGGAGCGTGTCCGGGCGGGCAAACTGATGCCCGACGACAGACAACTGGAGACAATGAAGCACCTAGATGCTCTTTACCACAGGATTCACGGCTACACACCCAGAGAGCAAAGCGGAGGCAGCAGTGGCGGTTTCTTCAGCTCCATCTTTGGTCGGAGAAGAACCCACGCCGATGACGCGGCAGATGACTTAAACGCAGGCAGCCATGCCCCAATGGGGCTGTACCTCTATGGCAGTGTGGGTGTGGGGAAGACAACCTTAATGGACCTGTTCTACGACTGCTGCAGTCAGGTAACTAATAGCTTACACAAGCAACTCATACTCACACACGAATTTGCTCACAGATTCCTCGCAAGCAACGTGTTCACTTTACTGCCTTCATGAACAGTGTTCATGGACGAATACACGAGGCGAAGGAACGGCAGGGTCCCATCGATCGGGCCTTTAATTCGGAGAAACCAGCTCCTTTTGATCCAACGGAACCCGTGGCAGACATCATAGCCAGCGAGTCCTGGCTGATATGTTTTGATGAGTTTCAGGTCACCGACATAGCCGACGCCATGGTGCTGAAGCGACTCTTTACGCATCTATTCAGGAAGGGCATCGTGATAATTGCCACCAGCAATCGGCATCCCGAGGATCTGTATAAAAATGGCCTGCAACGGACAAACTTTCTCCCGTTCATAGACCTGCTGCAAAGGCGCTGCCAGCTGGCCAAGCTGGACTCCATCGATTATCGCCGCATTGCCCAGTCCGGCGACACCAACTACTTTGTCAAGGGCCAGAGCGATGCGGAGGGCAGCATGAATCGCATGTTTAAGATACTGTGCGCCGAGGAGAACGATATCATTAGACCGCGCACCATCACTCACTTTGGACGGGATCTTACCTTCAGTCGCACGTGTGGTCAGGTCTTGGACAGCAGCTTTGAAGAGCTCTGCAATCGCGTAAGTGCTCTGCTCCCTAGCAACATGCAATCTCGAGGAAATATTAATGTTTTCCCCTCTGTTCACACAGCCTCTGGCGGGTAGCGACTATCTGCAGATCTCTCAGTTCTTTCACACCGTCCTCATCAGAGATGTGCCCTCGCTGAACCTAAACATTAAGTCACCAATGAGGCGATTTATAACGCTTATAGATACGCTATACGACAACCGAGTGCGCGTGGTAATATCAGCCGACTATCCGCTGGACAAACTATTCCAGGTGACCGATCCCGCTGACATTTCAGACACTGATCGCATTCTAATGGACGACCTGAAAATCAAACATGGCACAGTAAGTCGATGGGGCTGGAAAGCCACTAACTAGCGATCTTTCACCGCAATAATAATCCATTCCATTGCAGCACGATTCCAAGTCTAGCGTGTTCACCGGGGAAGAGGAGTTGTTCGCCTTTGAGCGTACGATTTCAAGGCTGTACGAGATGCAGAAACGTGAATACTGGGAGCAGTGGGCAAAGCATCGCTGAGACAGGCCCCCAGAGCAGGCCTCAGACCACAAAAGAAAAGCAATAGTTTTATTAGTGCAAATGCATAAATTATTCGTATACCTCATGTCGAAGTACACTTTTAAAGTTTTCGTTGTAGTTTCTCACTAGAAATGGTTGACTTATCAAAAGTATTAAAGCAATTTACAAGCAAATGCTAGTCAATTATTTTGTTAATATTTTGATGATCAATTCCGTTATTCATTGATCACATGTAGTAAAACTCATTTAGTCTGGCAACGCTGCCATCAGCTGTTCTGCATGTAAAGAATAGGTCAAGTTTCGCTGGTGCCCGAAAGGGCCAAACATGCCGAGCCGGTGGTGGCGAAAGATGCAAAGATGTCCGCATCACAAAGGAGGAGAAGTAGGCAAAAATCGCTCTAACCATCCACACTTCTCGCATGGAGTACATTTATTACTGCATTTTTATATCGTGACTAAAATACAAAAAAATAAACACCATTTCTATGAGTGATGCTGATCCTGCCCAGTTGACTTGTAGTCGTAAGTTATCTGCGCAGGAGCTGCCATTAGATCCTCCTCCGCCTGCTCTTCGCCATGCTGCAGCAGCTCTGCGGGGCCAGCCTCTTGGTGTGGCTGATTATCCGGCATCTTCACCTGCATGTCCGCAGCAAAGAAGGAATCGTCAAAGTTTATGCGATTGCGCTCATCCTGCTCCAGGTAGAGGGCCTTGGGCGTCTCCCCTCCCATGGCCTTCTCATATGTGTTCAACCACTTGAGATTGAGATTGATATGCTTGGAGGCTGCATTGAACTTCTTTGGCTTCTTTTTTGGCTTGTCCGCGTAGTAGTTGTGCTCCTGCTTTAGCGGCTGAGGCGGAGGTGCTATCTTCTCCAGGAGCCTGCTCTTGGCATCCAGTTTCGGATCCACATAGTCGAACAGGGGCAGATAGAAGTTGTACGGCTGCGCTGTGGGCGGCAATAATAGTTGTTGCGGCTGTGCTTGCTGCTCCACATGGCTGCTGCCTTCCGACATTGAGTCCTCCGCAATGGCGGGAGCAAAGATCTCGCCAGCTCGCCTTAGCAAATTCTCCAGGCGCTCCAGAGTTATAATATGGGGGTGTATCAGCTGTACATCATCATGAAGCTGCGCTCGACGCGCTGCTGTGGGGCTGGCTGCGACACTCGCGCAGGAGATGCAAAACAGCAGCTGCAAAGAACATTAGGAGGAATAAGGACCATATCCGAATCCTTCACTCTTTCCACTCACAATCAATATACCACTCATGTTTCCTTTAATGTTTAACCCAAACCCAAATCCAAACACTTTGAATGAGCCACTTGCGATTTCACATGCACTGCGCTCCCTGACTCTAGCACCTTCACTTTCAAAGATCTCACACAAAGTAAGGCCTCCTTTGGGCAGGCCAATTCATTTATAGTGGCTTTCCAAGCTCCGCGCTGAATGCTGCATGCTCAAACGGAAGCTCGGAAGTCTCCACCATCAGCGGCCCAACAACATCAGCCAAGGAGCAAAGCAATTGGGTTGGGAGAAAACAAGTTTCTCACACAACAAAATAAATATGTAACGAGCCAAACTAGACATGCGAGCCAAACCAATTCTCTGCCCGTGTACACGATGGTCTTGTGCATAATAATGTTAATGTAACAGCAGCGCAGTGGAATTGCAGTTGCAGTTTCAGTTGAACAAACTGGAATGGAAGTGCCGGCGAGGCGACTAACAGTTTGTCACTCAGGCAAATGCTTGCCTGCCGCTGAAGAAATTGTCCAATTTCAGGCGGTGGCCAGAGCAAAGTCGGCCGACATCCGACTACTTCGGACTCGGCTCTGGCTCTGGCTCTGGATTGGCTTCGACCGTAAGTGCATTGACCCACACAATTATTTCCGCAGCAATGGGAACGAATGTGTGAACGCGTTTCGATTGTCTTGCGATCCATGGCCGTAAAAGTGCAAGTTCAAAGTTACAGGAAATGCTTAATGGCGGCGGCATAATGGGAAAAGTGTAACGACCATAACTTGTTCATTGCCTCGGACATTGGTTCGTAATTTATTAAACGGTTTCGCTCCTGCATCGATCAAGCCTGCTTAAGTTCGGGCAATCCTTTTACAATAACATCAAGGGCTTTAAGGTCCTTATTGACAGTCTCACACAGTACTTCCATGGCACGCTGTTGCATGGTCAAAAAATTCTTCATCTCGTCCTCGGCCTCCTGGTCCATCGTATACTCGGACCCACAATTGCCAGCAAACTGATTCCTCTGCATTCGCATCTGGGACAGCAGCTCGCTGAGCCGTCCCTTAAACTGTGTGGGTGCCGATACCACGGCCTGCATGCTCTGTAGTTTGGTGCGCAACGCCTCCTCTTCGGGTGACAGCGAGGAGCCCACCTTCCGCGTGCACTCTTGCTTCACAATAATCTGTTTGATGCAAGAATTAGTTAGAGCCTGCAACAAGGGAATACCATTTCATGCTTACCGTAAGTATGCGATGACTGAGCTCAGCCAGCTTGCGTTTATGCTCCAAGATTTTGGACGATGCCGTGGCATGCCTGTTTCTCAGCTCCGTCAGTTCTCCCTCCACTTTCTTCATGTACAGGGCATGCGTGTCTGTTTCCTGCTCCTGGCACTTGACGCGCCACTTCAGGTCGTTGAAGCCAATCATCGGAACAGGCAGGAACTTAAAAGCGTCTGGATTATCCAAATTAGCTTGACGCCACATTCGGGGATCTACACCTCGGGGAGGATTTTCAAGGTACTCCTTCAGTTGATCCTCGTCCGGCAACACCAGAGCTAATGCTTCCACAATCCCCAGATTGCTGAGCTGAGGCTTAAGCGACGCCTGGTTCAAATAGTTCGAGAGCTCAGTGGCCAATATCCGCTTGCCTTCGTTCGGTGCATGCTGCAGTTTCTCATCCACGTAGATAACCATCTGACACTTTTTATTCTCCAACTCTTTGATGGTTTCAATGTGCACCATCATGTTGGGCTTGCTGCCGAACAAGCTGTGCAGCGTCTGAATCACTTGTTGCTGGTGCGGTCTAAAAAGGCAAACCTTATATTAAATATTCTTCTGCGAGGAGGATGTGGCATCTACTTACTTGATGGCCGAAAGATCCCTATCAAAATTCAGAGCCACGAGTCCCAATTTGTTATCCTTGCCTGGCATGCGACTGTACCCGATGGCCTTGAAGCGGCACAGGTAATTCTCCGGCGTGATGTCGACTGGGGGTGCACTCTGCGAATAGAACAGCTTTCCAGTGCCCCACATGGACTGCAGATAGTTCCACTTGGCCACAATGTTATCTCGCTCATCGCCAAAAATTGAAACATTTAGAATAGAGTGAGCAAAGGCCTCATCGGCTGATATGGGTGCGGGCTGCTGTTGAGGCTGGCCGAGCATAAAACTGGTGCCGCCGAAGCCACCAAAGCCAGGAGTTACTGTGCTATTCGATGGCTTTCCAAAGTCTGCAAATTGAATATTGATCACAAACATTAGGAATACGAATTCGGATATCAGAACTCACTGGAGCCAAAGACACTACCGCCAAATCCTGTCGTCTGGGCACCTCCAAAGCCACCGAATGCTGGCGCCGTGGTCGTTGTTGCACCAAAGCCAGCAAATCCACTCGCAGGCGCTGTGCTGGTAGCGGCCGGCTGACCAAATCCACTAAAAGCCGGTGGCGCAGTGCTTGTCGCTGGAGCGGCAAACAAACCTCCCTGACCTGTTGCCGGAGCAGTGCCGAATCCGCCGAAACCTCCACCAAGTCCTGTTGTCGCTGTCGTTGTCTGGGCAGCTCCAAAACCTTGTGCACCTCCAAAAGCAGAGCCGCCAAAAGGTGGGGCAGATGTGGGAGTACCAAAAGATGAGGCAGCAGCACCAGTGCCAAAGCCTGGTGCGGCCGCCTGTGCTCCGAAGCCTTGCCCAGTCGTGGCACTGCCGAAAGCAGTTCCGCCACCAAAAGCGGGCGTCGCTGAGCCGGTTCCAAACGCTGGAGCAGCTGTCGCCGGGCTGCCGAACGCTGACACTGCTTGACCAGCTCCGGTCGTAGTTCCAAATGGTGAACCAAACATGCCGCCAGCTTCCATGTGTGGGGAGAGGAGATAAGCAAAACAAACAAATGGGTCAAAAATTAGTATTCAGCTTCCGCCGTGCGATCTTATCACTGATAACAGTGCCCGAAACTCTAAGCTAGCAATAGTTTGCTTCTAACACTGAACGCAAGAGGTCGAACCAAATGGCTATTGTTCTTATTTTGTTTCTCTTGGTGATAGCCTCCGCGTCGTATGTGGCATTCATTATACGCAAGAAAGGGTGAGTTTCGTGTTGACCCTTCGTGCATCATAATTGAAGGATTCTGTTGCAGCATCGATCCAAAGGACATACGCATAAACAGCCTGCAGGATGCCAAGAAACTACTCCAGTTACCCCCAAATGGAGCAGGGCCCCACAGATACTTGCAAAAAAGAGCTTAAAAGTCGATGGGTTTGTTTTTATTGGAACTCACTTTTGGCCGGCGTGCTCGTTGCTCCCAGCGGTGTACTCGATCCAAAGAAGGACATGATGTGACAAACGTATGAATAAAACGCTGCCGACTAATTGAGTTTGCCTTCTCTGGACTGCTTTTTATAATACTCGTTCTTGAATTTAACAAACTAAAAGTATACCTAAATCCTAATAATCGTAAAAATTTGGCGCTTTCCGCAATCTTGTGTTTTTTTTGGCGATGGAACAAAAACGATTGTTGAAATATCGATGAGCGAGAACAAGACCAGGGCAGCGTGAAAATTACTTGACCCATTGTCGATAGGTCGACATCTTAACATTTCTCCATAGTGCTGATTCTAAATTCTAAGATTTCTTTTTAAGTGTTATTTAAAGAAATTGTTTTGTCAATAATTCGAATGTCCCATTAAAAACTATATAAAGCAATATAAATAAAAATATCGCATCTGACAATCGAGGCTGGCGGCCATACCAATCGATAGCTTACAGCCCTACCTCAGGATTTGCCTCGTTTCGTTTCAAAATTGATCAAAAATGAGTAAATACAGCTCAAAGTATTTGGAAGACAAGCTTAAACAAGAGCTTGAAGCAAATTACGTAAATGTGGTCGACGAATCAGACGGCTGCGGTGGAAAATTCAGCGTGATTATTGTGTCCAATGCATTCAAAGGCAAGACGTTGCTACAGAAACACAGATTAGTCAACACGACGCTGGCCGAAGAACTAAAAGAAATACACGCTTTCTCGCAAAAGTCATACACGCCCGAAGAGTGGGAGAAAGTGCAGCAACAGCAGCAACAATAAGCTGTAACCTGTTGTCGCTCGTTTGTAGTTTGGATTTTTTGCGTGTGACGATCGGAACCAGTATAGCGAAGCCAGCCACCGAAAACAGTCGAACAAAGAAAGTGAAAGGGAAACAACAGCCAAACGCAGTCGGAGTGGAGTTTGGAATTGCGAAATGAACTGCTAAATGCATACGTTACATAAAAAACAATAAAAACTTAAGCACTCGACGTAGAGACACAACAATTTGTACGCTTCCCCATTACAATTTCAAATTACTGATAAACGATAAAACCAACTCGCCGCAGAACAATACAATGCTCAAGTTCCAGGTCCACGCTCCGGGCAAGGTTATTCTCCATGGCGAGCACGCTGTCGTCTACAATAGACCCGCCCTGGCCGCTGTTGTTGGCCTGGGCACCAATCTGAAGTTCCGCCAAGAGGCGGGCAGCCAGGTAGCGAGCTTCAAGCTGGACGCTCTCAACTGCACGCTGGAGATACCGCTTGGCGACTTTAATGCGTTTCTCGAAAACTTCCGCAAGTACCCGGCGGACAGCACGGCCAAGCTGATGGAGGAGGTGCGCGGGGAAGTGTCCAAGCAACTGGAAAGAGCTGCCGGCACCACACCCAAGCCGGCTACCCAAAGGGCGTTCATATCCATCTACTACTTGCTGGCTGGAGCTGTACTCTCATCACCAAAAGATCAAAAACTGACTCTTCAAACCGGTTTCCAGGTGCAGGTAGACACCGAGCTGAACGTGGGCGCCGGCTTGGGTAGCTCTGCTTCGTTTGGAGCAGCTCTGGCCGCCGCTTTCCTCATCTTGTCCGGCCACTTTGACCAGGAGAACTACCTGCAGGAGGAAAATCAGGCACTTATCTCGAGCTGGGCCTACGAATCGGAGCGTGTCAATCATGGAACACCCTCCGGACTGGACAACACTGTGTGCACTTACGGCGGCATGCTGCGCTATGTGAAAGGACATGGGTTTCAGTCCCTGAAAATACAGAAACCGCTCAACATTCTTCTGGTTGACAGTCGCGTGAGCCGCAGTACGGCAGACATCGTGGCCAAGGTTCGCCATTTAGCTGAAGGCTTTCCCCAGCTCATTGAAGCCATTTGGCAAGCCTGTGAGGAGCTGGTAACAGCTGCTGTCCCACTTTACGAGAGCTTCGGCAATGCCCAGGACGACAGTGCAAAGTTTGAAAAACTCGAACGGCTCTTTCAAATCAACAACGATCTGCTAAAGGCCATTGGTGTGTCGCACCCGAAGCTGGAACAGATATTCACCATTGCGATCAAGAGAGGCTTCTTCTCGAAGTTAACAGGCGCTGGGGCTGGTGGCTATGCAATCGTCCTGCTCCCCGAGAACTTCGAGTGCAACGAAGTGTACTGGAAACTTAAGGAGGAACTCGAGTCGGCGGGCTTTGGCGTTCATGTGACGACAGCTGGCGGTGTTGGATTGCGTGTTGGCTCTTTGGACGATTGATCCAAGACTTGCTTCACTTTGTATTGCTATTGTGTGTATTCGTGGTTTCGTTATGACTTAAAAATAAAGATTTACATTTGTAATTTGTACGGCCAAAGAGTATTTAGCGCTGGCTCCTGTCGCGCGATTTGTAGACAATTCCCCGGTTCTTCATGTCCCTTAATGTTGATTGAGGCAAAGTTCCTGACACGGATATAGCATAAATGCCGCGTGTAAACCGAGCTGAAATATACGTAAAATCGAAATCCAAAACTGTCTTGCAGATTGATTGATTGAGATTGGTTTACCTAATCGCTGCCATTTCGCCACCCAGGAATCGGTGGGTGTGGTTAAAGCTATGAGCCCATCAAAATTGTTGCTCGTGTGGTCATACACATTATCTTTGTTGCCTTTCATGCGCAAGAACTCTTCGCAGTTTTCACAGCCGTCAGTCTCAAATTGATCAAAACTCTGAAAGACGCGAAAAATTTCACTTGACTTGATGCCGCATTGTGCAAACATAACCTACCTTCACCAAGGAACAAACCAGGCAGGCACGCAGACCCCTCAGATCCTTGGGTATCGCGTCAAAGGACATTGTTACTAGTTACAGTCAGATATTGTTAAATAAAACAAATTTAAATACTTGAGAACGCGAAAACAGGCCACGCGTCAGTGTGACCGCGGATTTATCGATGAAACATACAGTCTGACCCACAAAAATATACCGAAATATACCTTCTCAATATAGCAAACATATAAAAAGTTAAAAGGCGTCAGTCTAAAACACGGTCATATTTAATGCGCGAGCTCACCACGACAACTTGATTGAGCAGCTTGGAAAACAGTTTTAATATTAATGCATGAAGTAAGGGTATACAACGACACATAACATCGGTTGATAAGACACATGTTGTCAAAACGTAACGTTCCATGCTCACTCACGTAACGTGTTTTTCTTTTTGGTTGACCTTTTTAGCTTTAACCTTATTTTGCTAACAATCCAACAAAAAGTAGTCATGAAAACTAGCCAATCTTGTGGAGATTTTATTGGTGAATAGGATAAAATTATTGTTTTAGTGCTGAGAGTTCTAACTAGCTAGTAATATGAAATAGAACATCAGAATTAAGGAAAATGATATAGGATTTACAAAATAAGTTGAAAATTAGATATTTTGGTATACTTTTGATGGTCTTGCGGTATATTTGATCGATAAATCCGCGGTCACACTGGCTCAAACTGCGAAGCAGTGCAAAACAAAACATAAACAAACTAAGCCTGAGCTTTTGCCGCTGCTACCACCACTTATTTTTTTTGTGCACTAAGCTACGCAGCGATGTCATCATCCTCAACGTCCAGCCCCACGGACAATAGTTCCCATGGTTCTGTGGCTCTATCCTCTTTCGCCGCCTTAAATGCAGTGTCTGGGACAAACACCAGCACAAGTGGGAGCCAGAAGCCATTTTCCCTTTCCGAGCGTTTGAACTTTGAGATTTACCGTTATTCCAGTTATTCTCCAAATTATCTGCCCGAGTAAGTGATTCGTTGGAGCGGGAAAGAGATAAGACGCTTTTCGCTTAAGTTCATTTGCAGTTGCATTTCGTAATTGTTGTTGTCAACTTCGCACATATGCATACATGTATGCTTGTATGCAGACGCATTCATATGTATGCATGCATGTCGCATTTACCGTTTAGCTATCATTTATGACTTTTGGTTTTATTAATTTTCAGAAATGTACTCGTAGACACACCGAACGATCAAACGTCCCGCTGGTCAGCCTACACCAACATCCCTCCACAGTTTCTTACCTTGAAGCTGCGACGCCCCGCCATTGTTAAGAAAATCAAATTTGGCAAATTCGAAAAGTCGCACGTTTGCAACATAAAGAAGTTTCGTGTATTCGGTGGCCTGGAGGATGAGCACATGGTCTTGTTGCTAGAGGGGTATATATCTACATAAGTATATTAAATTTCGAAATCTGCAACTCTTTGTATATATTTGTAGTGGACTCAAGAACGACAATATACCAGAAGTATTCAACCTACGCTGCATGACTGAAGACGGCTCGGAGAATCTGCCAGTACTGTTTCTCAAGATTGTTCCACTGCTGTCTTGGGGTCCATCGTTCAACTTCAGTATATGGTACATCGAACTCCACGGCCAAGACGATCCCATGTATACTTGTGCGCGGATGAAAAATTATAACACACTACGAGAAATTGAGATTATAAAATTGTGCCTGAAGCACTTCCGCCAGCAGGGCTACATGAGTGCCTTCGGGGCTCTTCAGGAGCAAACAAATGTGAAACTGGAGCACCCGCTTATCAGTGAATTGCACAAATACCTGGTAATGAATCTGTAATTTCTGTGATATACACTTTAATTCCACTGACTCCGCTTCAAAGGTGGTCCAAGGAGACTTTGAAAAGGCCGAGCGCTTCATTGCCGAGTGCATTGATGAGGGACTAATGGACGAGTATCTCTATAAGCAAGACTACAAGCACACCTGGCATATGAAATACACTGAAAGCGAGACAAAACCTGGTCAGTATATAGCGCCCATATGGAAACCAATCTAAACATTCGCTTGCAGGCAATCGTGGTGGCCATCAGCTGGTGGTCGATGCCAAAAAACGCCTCATATACCTGTACGGCGGTTGGGATGGCTATCAAGATCTGAGTGACCTTTGGGTATATAAGATTGAAGATGATGAATGGAGGCTGCTTTGCGAAAGGTCAGAGCAATCCAGCGGGCCCACGCCGCGTTCCTGCCACAAAATGATATTTGATCCGATAAGCGAAAACATCTTTATGCTCGGCCGTTACCTAGACAACTCGATACGAACATCAGAATACATCAAGAGCGACTTTTATCTGTACGATACACGGGCTCGAAACTGGATGCAGATCTGCGATGACACCAGCCAGGTGGGTGGGCCCCAACTCGTCTACGACCATCAGATGTGCATCGATGCCGACAAGCGAACCATTTACGTATTTGGCGGCAAAATACTGACGCCACGCAGCGTCAATGCCACGGGTGCCATCGAGCCCGAGTACTCCGGACTGTTCTCCTATCACATTGCAACGAATACATGGACCCAAATACTCGTCGACTGTCATCACACGAGCGCCTCGCAGGCTGATGTTATGTCTATTAAGTCACGCATCACGCACTGCATGGTGTTCCACAATGTAAGCATCTTAGTTTCTGTAGCGTAAATTAAACTCAAAGCAAACATCATTTTATTAGAAACAAAGAAAACTCTACATTTATGGCGGCCAACGTGGCAAGGAGGATCTGGATGAGTTCCTCAGCTATGACGTGGACACGCAAGCCATATCAGTGCTAAACAAAGAACATCCCAATCAAGGAACCACCGCAGGCAATGAGGCCAAATTTGAGCCATCATCGGGCTACACTTTGCGGGCGACGATTGATTGTGAACGCGACGAAATTTACATATTCTCCGTAAGACTTATATCTAAGAATGATAACACACATTTGCCTAACTTGAGAGTACATTTGTAGAGTCTGAGCAAGATTAAGGATCGCCGTGACATACAGCATATGGATGCATCAAACTCCTTTTGGGTCTATTCGTTGCGTCAACACAAGTGGTCGCGCATCTACTATTGTCGGCACAGTGGCCAAGATGGCAACTCTATTAGCAGAGCCAACGTTTTGGGAGCCTCTAAAGGTGATGCAGCTCTGGAGCCCTGCCCACGCTATGCTCATCAGCTGGTCTACGATGAATTGGCCAACAACCATTATCTTTTTGGTGGAAATCCAGGAATCTGCCAGCAACAACAGCTGCGCCTGGACGATTTTTGGCTTCTATCTCTAGAAAAGTTAGTATTACTCATCAGCGTAAACGAACAGAGACACATTAACGCTCATTTCAGACCTAAACGTGACGAGATTCTAAAGCATTGCCGCTTCCTGGTGCGTAAGATGCGCTATGAGGAGATGGCTCGCCAAAATCCCATGCAGGCCATGCAGTATCTGCGTCACAACATCGCCGATGTTATAGATCACGACGATGCAGAGCAGTTGAATAACGTAAGCTTTATCTTCAAGTCATCTGTCTGTCTATATATTGAGGAATTTCCCTGGTATTTAGTTTCACAAGCTGGCCTCGCTGCTCTTCAAGACACACGACGGATGCCTAGACCAGAGAGAGAGTTTTGTGGCCACGACGGCTATATGTCGCAATACGGAAGAGCTGGATACTGACGCTGATCTACCAATGAAAGGTTTGACTTTCGATACATATATTTGGCATAGACTTGAACGAATTGTTGCTTTCTTCAGAAGAACTGTCCGATGGTAGCGCAACCGAGAACATTTCCCTGGAATCAAATGAGAGCCTAGCCACCTCTGGCATATCGGAGACTGCCTCCAGTCCCAGCTCCTCATCTTGTACCAAAAGAGCACGTACCGAGTGCAATTCCGATGTCATGAACAAACGAGCTTTCCTATTTAACAAGCTGGTGCAGCTGATGCCACCAAGCATGGTCCAGCCGGAGCGAAACCTCAGTGATTTTGTTGTCATGTGAGCGGAAACCCAGTGGAAGTGGAGTCCCAGTGCCAAATTGAAGAGGACGGGCAGGGCAGTCTCTTATGATCGTTAGGACATTGAATGTGCACGTTTTGCGTTTTGTTTTTGAAAATAGTATGTTAATCGATGTGATATGATGTTTAGTTTGCTTGTTTCCCTTAGGGCAGGGCAGCCAATGTTAAGTTTTGCGGCCAGTGCCAAGCATGACCAAAATATTATTATTTCATTGTGATAGTTCATTTGCACTCGAAATCGAGCAGAAGACTCTTAAGTGGAGAGTGGAGTAGGGATTATTGCGCTTAAGACAAACAAACCATGTGTGAAAAAGTGTTAAATATAATATTGATTGTGAATGTAAAACAGATTTATGTAAGTTTAAAAAAATAAAGTAATTTTTGTAATGTCTAAAACTCTCGTGAGTATGGATTTGTTTTTAATATACTTTTATTTATTTTATATTGGTTTTTTCATTAATATTAAGGTGTACATAGATACTTTTTAATTATCTAAAAAATTTCTTTAGTTTCAATTGCCAATCATACAATCGTCTGTCCTCTATATGATTTGTATGACAAATGTTTAGACATCCAACATCTCAAAAATTAGCAAATGCTGCAGCTGCCCCCATGCCATGCACGTAAAACGCCCGTACAAATTGTAATAAACCCAAGCATTCGTAAAATATCAATCAATTCAAATCCTACAAGTTCTCAATGATGATCTACTGTCCATGGACATGTTGGGCTGCCTGCAAAGCTTAGAGCAAGCTTGCAGTTTCTTTGGATGTTTCATTCATTAGCTTCATTAACTCATTTCCTTATCCATACAAATGTATATAAGTAGAAATATGACTCGAATATTTCCTTCTCTAAATATCAATCGAATGCCACAAGCTGAACTCTCACAACGGATCTTGCTCGCCTCATACCAATGAGCTTCATCATTATCATCTTCTTGTTTTGTTTTTTGTAGTATTATGTACTCGTATGTATGCTAGTCAAGGGAGAGTTTCTTTAGTTATTATTATTAATTTTTTTTTCTTTAGTTGTTGCTTTTCAAGCTTTCTTTCTCATGGAATGTGGTCTTCCAAATACAAATTTACATACACACATACTTAAAGTAATAACTACCCATCGATTCGAATGCCACACCAAAATGTATAAGGATTACAGTGGCCTGCCTCGGGAACCCTTCTCCATACACATAATAATTGGTTTCTGGGCCCGAGTTAGATCTCTCTGTTTTGCATGTAAGTGGTTGGTTTGCCCTTTAGCTTGCAGTTCTGGTTGAGTTTGTTGCTTAGAAAATCTCTTCTTTTTTATGTTTCTCGTTTTAATATTAATTCCTAAAATTATTTTGAAATTCCTTTAGCAATCATCCGATTTGTGCATTACGCACTTTGCTTTTTTTTGTTTGTTTGTTTATCATGGAAATACATACATAGCTAGTAGATTCTTTATTATATTTGGTTTTTGCTTGTTTTAGTTTTCTTTTTCTAATCGTAACAATTGTAAGTGTAACCAAAATTATTGTATATAAAAATACAAAATACATACATTAATCGTTTTATATCAAAGTCTGCGTCTATTATAGGTTCTTACCGAGTTAAATGTATAGTTCCATACATATGCCCGAGTATGTGGTATCTCTCGAGGGGCTTCAGCTTCCCCCCCACCAAACAAAATCCCAAATATTTACATACAACTAACTGACTGACTGCGTGACTGTGCTGCACTTTTGAGAAGGAACCGATCATTCAAAGCAAAATACAACTCTCTGGCACATTATTAAACATACTGATAGGCGTTTAATTATTATGTATGTATGTATATTTATGTGGCTTTACTCGTACTTATGTTTGTGTGGAGAGGAACAGCACGCTCCCAGTGATTGGGTGATGTCGCCATGGAGCTAAAGGAGATCTCAGTGAGGTGTCACAGGGAGTCTGGACTCTCCCCCTTTTGCATATCCTGTGTGCGTCTCATGAATTCCGTGAACAGTAGTGGGAAGGCACCAAATTTGTAGTAAATCATAAAGATATAAACCAATTCAGAGTACTCGCATGGTATGTGTGTGCTTTTGAAACCGCCGAAGAGTGTCTATATATTGAGATGAACACTTTCTGCACCGACAAAACTAAAAACGAACTCAAAAACTGATGGGAGACTTTGTCTGCTCGCTGCTGATGCCATTCTTTGGACGGAAAACTATATGTGTGTTTGTGTGTGTGTGCTTCAGCTTGAGTATGCATGTAAGATAGTGTCCCAACTAACTGGGAGAACAAGACAATCTCGAGCCTGTGCCAAAAACCAACTCCGATCGGGCTATAAGTATTGGGAATATTCGGGTATATGCGTTCCGGACAACACTTAATTATGTATATGCTCTGCTATGTTAAAAACACACACACTGACTTATCGAAGCTTTTTAAAAGCTAATCAATTATTAATCATAAAAATCGTTTAATAACTTTACGTTTACGTTTACTTTTACTAGACGTGGTTACGCGGATTAAAGCTTTATACAACACACTGTTGGATCGTACTTAAACTATGATGCATATGGGTTTCGGTTCGGTTCGGTTCTGGTTACACAGTTTAATGGTTAAGCTATAGGCTCCTCCCCCTGTCCTCTGTCCCCTTGTCCACCGATATCGCTATCCGGATCAAATTCATCACGCTTTTTGGCCCCCGTTCTAACATAAACTGCAACTGATTGATACTGGGGCTGGTGGGGAATTGCTTTCGGGGTAGGGTGATCGAATCTTGGTTTTAAGAAAGTAAATGTGATACAATTATGAGAAACATTTTGTTTCATATTTATTTTACATATATGTATGTATTTATTTTGTGTGTGTGTGTGTGTTGTTTTTGCGTAGAGTAAAAGTTTGTGTGTGTTTATTTGGATTTTTACATAAATTAAATAGTTTGTTTCTGTTGATTTTGTTAAACTGTATATGTGCGTCACTTTGTTACTAATCATGTTCATCGTTTATCATTGTGTACATTAAATTAAACTAAATTATAAAAACAAAAACAAAACTGCGCACGCACCTTGGCAGCCCAGCCCATCGGATTGGCCGCCAAGAGCGCCCGCCGTTGCATACATTAATTAGATCTATAAAATAGCAAACGACTATCAAAAATTAATATTATCATAGAACGTACCAAACGTACTCTGGATAGCAACATGGCTCAATGGAAATTTTGATGGCAACAAAAGTACGCAAGAAAGCCGTAGGACCCTCTTCTGCTGGGGCTCTTTCTTTCTTCAATGACTGACGCGTTTGACTGGATTGGACCTGGCGTTTGATTGAATATCAACAAAATTGCACAGATGGTGCTGCTGCTGCATCCCAGGGAGTGGGGTTATCGACAATTTCACAGACACGTGTTAATATTAATTAGGATGTAAGGTGTGCGCTTCATGCAGACTGCAGGCTGGCTCTTCCTCTCTTTCATTCTTTACAAATGGGTTTTTCTCTATTTTGTGTGTTTCATCATATCATAGATTACAATGCAATTAAGAGTGTGGGTGGTGGTGGGTTCCCGAGAAATGCAAATTATAATTTGTTTATCAATTGTTACATATGCGCATTCGTGTGTTATACATATTTATGATTTTTTGTTTCTTTGTTTGTATTATGTATTATGTTTGTTTGTTTGTATGCATGTATGTATAAATATGTATGTATGTATGTCGGTAAACAATTGTTGCAATATTTACTTTTTACGGGTTTTACGGTTTTACGGTTTTACGGTTTAGCCTAGTACAAAATACAGTATTATGTATGATTTTGCTTTTATTATTCATTCTCTTAAGCATGTATTATCTGATTTTATGTATGTATATTTTTACACTCCTTATATGCAATATGCCTTGAAACTGTTATGAGAAACACCCAAACATACACACATATATATATATTCTTTGCGGTATGTATGTATATGCATTCTCTATATATTTATTCGGGGGGTTTTCTTATGCAAAAGTTCTTGTATCTTGTGTGTAGGTTAAATTTTCCTTTTTTTTGCAGTTTCTTCAGTAAATGTTTTGCATTCTTTTGGTTTTGTCTTGTTCTGGCATTCGTTCAGTACGACAAAAATTGTTTCCGTTTGTTGTTCCGATCTCTAAGCATTTTGATTAAATGTAAGTTACTTAATTTTGGTTTTTATTCTTGTTTCGGTTTTTATTACAAAAGTTTCTTCTATGGTAATAAATTTGTTTAAATATTATTAGTACTTGTATCAGATTTTGTGTTATTACATAATTCATTTCTCTCGTTAAACACAAATTTGTTGTTGTTTTCTTGTTGTTGCCTGTTACAGTAGCTGTATGTATATGTTGCTGTTGCTCTTGCTCTTTCTCTATTTATGCTACCATTTCTCGGTTCCTGATATTACAATTTTTACTTTACGAAACTTTCTTGGGTCTATTTAATGCTTAGTGTTCGGCCTCACATCCGTACTCCACCGCTTCTCACGCTATCTTTTGTTTGTTTTTTGTGTTTAATTAATATGCGAAAAAGGAATTATGAATGTATATATTTATATACATATACATGGTTGTTGTTGTTGTTTTTTTTTTGGGTTGTGTTTTGCGTGGGGTGTGCTTGCATATATACATAAATATATATATATATATATATATATAGTAAAAATCACAAAAATAGTTTACTGGTCCAAATCCAGTTTAGACCAAATTGTATTCCTTAAGGTTCGATTGCAGAATGGTGTCCTTAACAGCTGCAAACACAAACCTTATGTTTTCAGTATCTAAAGTAAAGGAAAGACATTAAAAGACATTATTAGCAAATTGAAATAGTTTAAGGTTAATAGTTAAATTAAGGAAATAGTTAAATACTACTGCACAGACATTCCAGAATGGACATCAATAACGCATAAATATGAATTTTTATTAGGGCACTTTCAAATATAATTATAAATCAAATATTCATTTGCATTGAGGCACATCCTGGCCGGCATTCTGGCATCCTGGCATCCTCCTATCCGCGCTGCAGTCGGCTAACCCAAATTGAACTCCTTAAGTGCATTTTGCATAATTGTATCTTTGACAGCGCAGAACACAAGCTTGATGTTTTCGGTATCTGTGTGTTCCAATAGAGGGGCATTCGGTTATAAATCAATCTGCTCCGACTCTCAACAATTGACTAGCGATACAAAGACTACTCCAGCAGCAGAAGCGAATGCAAATGATCTTTACCTCTTCCTTTAAGCAGTTCTGCGACTCTCCAGGCTGAAACACACTCAAACACACACAACGCACACCCGTCCCCAACCCAACCCGCATTTTTTGCACTTACCTGTAGCACAGGTGAAATGAGAATAGATAATCTTTTCGGAATCTGGATTTAAGTCTACAAACATTCGCAGTATGAATTCGCGGGCCGCGATTGCATCTCGCTGTGGACCTGTTCGGAAAATGAGCCAAAGAATATGTTTCGATGTGTTATATCTAGCGCGAGACTACAGGACTAGCAGTACAGATAGCATATAATAGTTTCTACATAAAATGTTTGGGCGTGGGCAAATAGAAAGCAAATAGATAGCTCAAGAGTTTGAAGTTTAAGGTCATCCACCTGTGGCCGTTGTGAAATGCGAATAGCATTGCCGTTCAGGATCTGGATTGGCGGCCAAATACTTTTTCAACACAAACTGCTTGGCCGCAGCATGATCCTGCTTCGGACCTGGTTGACGTGCGAGTTGGCGGCCACGTATAAATTGTACAGAGTTATGGGATAAGAGATCCATTTAATGGCAAACTTACCATCGTATTCGGGAAAGTAGTCTACCAAATGCGAATACATAATTTTCTCCTCCAACAAGTCCTTCTTGTTCAGGAAGAGAATGACTGATGAATTCTGGAACCAAGGGTACGTAATAATAGTTCTAAATAAAGCTTTTGACTCCTCCATTCGGTTCTGCAAAGAAAAATGATTAAAGTATTTAATTAAGCAATGTTTAGAAGAAGAAATGGGTGCGAGCGTCATACCTCGTTATCAGATTCAAACAAGATCTGATCGTATTCCGATAGCGCCACCAAAAATATGATTGATGTCACATTCTCAAAGCAATGAATCCACTTTCTTCTCTCCGATCGCTGACCACCCACGTCCACCATTCTGCATATCAATAAAGAGTCACATTAGCAATACTTCGAGGTAAATAATACAAGGAGCAAAACATTTGCAAAGCCACATAAATAAGCATGCATATTAGTAAGCCACAAACAGTAGTCAAATAAATTACTTATAAGTACCAGATTTCTACACTACCAAATGTAAATATTCTTCTTTTCGTTAGCCATGTCTAGCCTGGTCAATACAGTCATCAAATATGTGTATTATATGTATATATATCATGTATACCTAAACACAATGCCATCTAAATCGAATGGATACTCTAGTATGCCGGTGGTTGGCACACGAGCACGCAGAATATCCTGCTCAGTGGGCAAGAAGTCGGGCAGTTCAATGCGCGCTAAGTCGCTTAAGTAGCTATGTAAAAAGAATTGGCACACAATCAAACAGAAACCAAACAAAACTGGAAGTAAAATTCGTACGTGGTCTGTCCCAGTTCGCTACGGTACAGCTGTGAAATGTAGAAAAACCCCTAGCTAACCCTCCTCGATATAAGGTACTCGTAAATCTCATAGGAGTCATAGAGAATCTCAGAATTAGTTGGTTAAGTAATCGAAGCAATATGTTAGTAACAAAAGATCACAAAAGATCACAAAACAGGATCTATCAGACACATGCCATGCAATGAACATAGATAATTGTACATATTGAATGTATCTACCTAAATCTGATTTCTTCTAAGTCAAAGGGATACTCAATGATCCCCGTTGTCGGCACACGAACTCTCAAAATGTCTTGCTCAGTGGGTAAATAAGCAGGTTGAGCCACACGGTCGAGATCCATCAGATAACTATTTGTACAGAAATGAGAATCATTTTTAATAAAAACATTTTATGCAGAGAGTCTGCTGTAGGTTGTAGTCTCAGTGTTCGAGAGTTGTTTCGAGAGCTGTTTTGTGTTGTGTTGTCTGTTGGGTTAGACGCATTTCCCTACGAGTAACTCACTATTTGGCTGAATCTGTCAATTGGTATTCTCTACGACGGTCGTAGCACTCCTGGATGCCTGCATCGGCCCATAGCGTTTTGATGGCATTCAAAAATGGATCCTCGAATGTGGTCACTGTTTCATAGTCAATGCTCATCACCAGATCGGCCAGTTCCTGTTGATATTCGCATAAATATGTTCAATCAAGAATTCAAAGCGATTCTTTGATGGGACTTACGCTATGTTCTCCAACGCCATAGGAGATCTTAAGCATGTCCATGGCCTTGATCATCGACTGCATGGCCATGAAAATGTTCTGAAACACCAGTTTGATGTAGCCACGCTTATCCTCGTCCGAGTAGCCGCTGCCATGGATAATACGCATCTGTTTGATGAACGTTGACTTGCCGGACTCGCCCGTGCCTGCAAATGTTTGGGTTTAGTTTATGTTTCTTTGTTTTAATTTTAGTTTTGGTTTTAAGCGGATGCAAAGCTACCACGACTGCGGGGGTGGCAGCTGTTGTGGGGCTTCGATTTTGTTCTACTCACGGCACGAAAGGCACTCAGTAGCAATTAGCGTAGTTCAATTGCATTAAACCAAGCTAAATGCAATCAAAATGTGACAACCGTAACGTTACGCGTAAGTTTCACATCCTGTGTAGATGCTGCAAGGACAAGGACCGGGTACACTTACCGAGCAAGAGCAATTTAAGCTCCCGGCGCGCATCTCGCTTGTCGCGGCGCAACTGCTTCTCGATTTCCTGATTGATGCGCTTTTGTTCCTTGGCCTCTTCCGATAAACAGCACTCCATGCTAACTAGATTTATGGACGCTTACGCGTGCTGCAGCCACTACGTCGACTCTCCGTTACGCTTACAAAATTTGATGATTAGGTTTAGTTGAGGAGTTGCTGGCTACAGAGCTCTGCCTGTCTGTCTATCTATCTCTCTATCTGTAGGCTAATCTAATTGTTTGGGGGATCTGTTGGGGCTGCTGCTGCTTCTAAATTGAATTGGATTGGTGCTTGTGTCCTGAATACGTCTGCATTCAGGGGAATTGCTTGGTACCCGGCTCTAAGTTATAGATTCAGTTTCGATTTATGCATTTGTACTTTGGCGTTGCTCACTCTCCGATCCTCCCGTTGCCACAATCCGCTCGACAGGCTCTCTTTGGCTATTGCTTACTTCCCCGTTCGTTCCCTTTCCTACTCCTCTTCCTCGATGGCTTTACACTAAATCCTTGATCAGACTCCAGACTCTGTCAGAGTCCGATGCACGAATGACGAATGATACGACGATTGGTTCCCCTTGTAGTCCAGCGATCCAAGAACATCTGCGAGTGGTGCAAGAAGATACTTTGATTTAGAATTGTATTATATAAACGAACATTATTTTGTATATATGTATGTATGTATGCAGTCTTGCTCCCAACAGACCTAACACACTTGTTAGCTCACCGAGAGTTCGCCGCGTTGTGTCCAGTATTGGCAATTAACATTTCATATTTGCCTGCTCACAAACTGACTACGACGACGACGACGACGACGGTGACGGTGACGGCAGCGGCGAGTATATGCCCCTGGCCATGGCATTGACTTTGGCTGTAGGGCTGGCTTGGACACGGACTGGACTGGACTGGACTGGTCTGGCCCTCTCTGCGCGCATGCACCATGAACAAGAGCCATGCTACGAGCCATCTTCCGCTGTCATTCCCCCTGCTAATCGCACCTCAAAACACACACACACCCACACGCACACACGCGGAGGTGGGCAACGACCAACAGATTGGGGAAGTGGCCTGGTCTGGTCTGGCCACGATGCGATGCGCTGCGTCCCAACCCAAGTTCAATGTGAGAAAGCTGATTTTGGAAAATCTATGGCTTCGCCCAGTCACAAGTTCACGAGAGTGTTCCCCATCCGGGTGAACCATATTCGATTCGATTCGTGGTCTAATTTATGTCTCCTACCATCAACATCTTCTTAAAGGTCTGAGGAGGAAATCTCTTAAATGTCTCCATTCCTGGAGCTGGTGTTTTGAAGAGTCCACCCCAATGCGTCACCCATTCGTGGGTTCAGCCTACGCCAGAGGCGCCATTTCCTCTCTGCTGCTGCTGCTGCTGCTGCTGCAGTCGCTTCCCGTATCGAGTGCTCGCTAATCCAATTGGTGGCGCGAATGCATATGTAGGATGGAAATGGGAGGATGGCTTTCAGACGAAAAGCAACAAAATATCGATGGAATAGCCAGCCAGTGCTACGCGCTGCTACTGCAGAGGGAATCAGGGAAAGCTTTGAAGTAGCAGCCTGGGAAATAGGAGCCTCACATTGGATACTGGAGACCAGGAGGTGTCCCGCTCCCCAGGATAATGTTATTGACAATGGAAAAAGTAAAAGCAACAAAGCGAAACACTTGTCACTGAGCAAAGCTAGAAAATCTAATTAGCAGTAGCTGGCAATTCAGGGACAGGGACAGGTACAGGGCCATGGCCAGGGGCACGTCAGGGGGGTGAAGCGGAGTGAGAATTGGCACAGAGGAAGTTTTTCTAACAATAGTTTGCTAGATATAGTATCATGCCACCAGCTGGACGGGGTATGTTCTTATCTGCCTTATATGCATATGATAAGAGGCGGCCGCCCCTCATAGATATAATATCATTCCATTTGTCTTCTTAATCTTGATATGACTTCATCTGGCTACGGTCAGAAATGCCACAAAGTTACTCATTGCAGCTATAATTACACTGTGCAACGCTGCAACCTCTTATCAAACTTACAGCATAGATATGCCTGGCGCAAAGCCTTGATTGAGTATTTTGATTCGGGCAACAAGTGGTCGGTACTAAACACTTTTTTAGTGTAACTAATACTTATACTAGTTGGTATATAGTTAGAGTACTTACTCAATGCTTTATCGGAGTTCGAAATCCACTTAATCTGACGAGATTCTCCAATACGATGTTCTTTCTTTGCGTTCCTCTTGTTTTATTTGTTTTATTTTTGTTTTTTGCCTTTTTTTTGCTGGCTCTCGCTGAGTGTTTTGTTCTTGTTTTCCCTGCAGTTTGGCTTAATCGGTGTCGCTATGTTATGGATATCCGGGGTATTTCCTATTTAAATGTGTATATATGGTGTGATTTATATATCTTGAGATATATATATATATATCGTCGCCACAGGCTTTTGTTGGTATTCAAATTAAAATTATTTTTTTTCGCGCTTTTTATGGTTTTGCTTGTGCTGCTGCTGCTGCTGTCTGCTTAAACTAATTCAAAAGCATATTTCGTTTAGTTGGTTTGCGGTTTGGAAAACATTTGTTTTAAGGAACGTGTGTAGTTGGTTGATTAATTTTAATGGTGCGTTTCTCCAACAATAAAAATTACTTCTTCCTTGTCCCCTCCACGACTTGACTTGGCGGCGGCGGCTTAATGTAAATTTGATGCTATATAAATGTATATTTTTATTTTGTGTGTTTTCTTTTCTTTCTTTTGCTTTGCGTGTGCCTCCGAGGGTTGTCGCTGTTGTTCTTGTTGTTCTTAAACACCAGTTTGTAAATGCAACAAAGTTTCAACAAATATCCATTGTATGTGCTATTGAAACAGAAAGGTTTTATGACGACGACGACGACGACGACGAGCTGCACAAAACTGTTAATTCTTTCACACGCAACACTTAATGGCTCCTTTTGTGCTTAATTTTCTGCATACTTTATGCTTCTTGTGTTTGTTTATTTTTCTGTATGCAGTGGAACTGCAGGTGGAATAAGAGTGAGAGAATCAGATGGAGAGAGAGAGAGAAAACGAAAGGAAAAAGAGAGTAAGAACAGAAAAGAAATTATTAGAATGCATTGCCAATCCGAATACCAATCGTCGTGTCATATTGGTTAAAGTAAACACAACCGAGAGCTGGACGTTCGACCTCCCACCCATCGGCGCCACCCACAATCGTATCATGCCCTATCCTGTCTTATCGACACCCACAGGGAACGGAACTCATGTCAGACAGCAGGGGCTGCAAATCTTTTCAGCCCTGCCGTTTCAGGCCACATTTCATATTCTGCTATTCAATTACGTGCCTTCTGTATTTTTTATTAATTTTCTCGGATAAACACTCGAAAACGTTCAATTATCGCCCATCACCACCCCCACGACAGAGTTTTTGCAACATTTTTCGTTCCGTTTTTTTTTTTTGGTGGCGCTGGTGTTTTCTGCTGACAAGCAGTGCACTGCAGTGTTGTCACCGCTATATCTGTTTCACTCGCACTCCTTGGAGCGGCGAACTGCTTTATCGGCGAAACGAATACACACAGAGCGACGACGACGGGCGAGGCCAAAAACGAACATGAAAAAATTTTTGTGGAAAAGCAACGCGAAAATTTACCAATTCGCTCAAAAATTGTTTTACTTGGCTTTTGCTCAGGCCATTGCACATGCATTTCATCTGAAAGCGCACTTCACAATCGATTTTGGGGTGTTTTTCGGGGCCGACTGGGAATTGTAGGTGTCGAGGCTGGAGACCAGGAGACGATTCGATTGCTGGTGGATGGCTGTCGGTGTGTCCACGGAATTTGGGCGAAACTCACAACATATTTGATTTTGCATTGTTTGCTAACGTTGACGCACGACCCGCAGAAACTTTTTTCGCTTGTTTTCTCAAGTATTTACACTTTTTCCACGAAATCCACAAAATCTGAGCTAGGGACAGTGTGACCGCGAAATTATCGATAAAATACACCGTCAGGGCCTCGAAAATATACCAAAATATACTTTTTCATTTTTAAAATATACTATAATATACCGAAAAGTAAATATGCCGAAAACGGTCACACTGGCTAGAAATCATGTCGCGGAATAATCGATTGCTATCGTCAGGTTGAATTCGCAAAACTCGATAGCCTATCGATACTATTCTGTCATCGCTACGATATATTGTCAAAAGCGGTCACACTGCCGCTCCCAGTGCTGCAAAGCAACTGCAGAAGGGATGACCAGTGTGAGTAAGGTGTGGTATTAGCCGCCAAAGTTTAAATTCAAAAGGCACACACGATGCTTCATTTAATCTATGTTTTATTTGCATTTCTGTAAATTATTATCATTTGTTCAATATATTCATGCGATAAATAGGTGTATAAATTAATTAAATAAAATGTAAATAATAACTTTACAGTGTGCACAATTTAAACAATTATTTCGGGTCGGGTCAAACAATTCATTCGATTTACAATCAATTAAAGTAAAATGAAAACCTCGAATCGATCTGTTAGTGACTATTGGATTGTTCTCGTGTTATAAAGCTGGCGCTAGTTCGAGTTTTTTTAACAAACAATAAAAAAAGGAAGAAAAAATACAATTACAAGTAATATTATTTGAAAATAATTTTCGATTTCCAACTCAAAATCCTGGAGGCACCAGACGTGCATTTCTCCCTACTGGCCATCGCCATCGATTCACTCCACAATTGACTATAAAAAACTCGTACTACATATTTGCAAAATACACATACAAAATGTTCAGGTTCAGGTTCCATTCTTTTGTTTTTCATTTTCTTAATTTGTTTAACGATTACTCTTTGCTTTCGAGTGATATGCGTTGAATTGTGTGTGTGTGTGTGTGTGGGTGTGTGAGTGTGTGGGTTTGGTTTTACACAGTCGCATTTGTTCGCATCAATTATGAGCACAATAATAGTTTTAACAAATAATATATGTTTGTATGATACGTAGATTTGCTTTGCCGAGACTTATAACTAGAAAATAAAATTTGAAACATCCTCAAAGTGGGTTTGTTTTGCTTTTGCTTCGCTTCGCTTTTCCTTTGTGTGGTTCAACAATAATAATTAATAATTAATAATAACTGGAAGCACTGCTCCAATCGAATCGAAAGAATGCGTTTCACAGAACAAAAATGTTTTATAATGGGACAGAGACTGACACAGCGCTTCAGAAAGAAAGTTTGGCCAAAAGTTGTGGATTGGGATTTCCGTTTTGTAGATATTTATGATGGGATAACAAAATGTTGGGGTTTGTGTGGCTGTTTTGGTGGCTTGGTTCTCAGCTCCGGCTCCGACTCCGGCTCTGGCTCCGTTCGTCCAACTCCGCTCAGATGGGACGCGTGAAGTTGGCGGGGAAGAGGCCCTTCTCGCTGGTGCCCTCCTTCTGACCCATTAGCCAGCCCTCCTCCTGTAAGTTGGCAAGAAAAAACTGTACTCAATAAAGACAAGAAGTGCATCCATCTGCCACAAGCGGGGAGGGGGCAACTAGCTCAAGGAAAGGGGCCGCTCGTGAAGGGTGAGGCTCAACTGCATTAACTTTACCTGGTCCTCGGGATCATCGTACTCGATCACGCGAATTGTGTCCCCTATCTCAAAGCTCAGCTCGTCCACATCCTCCTTCACGTAGCCGTAGGTGGCCTTCACCCGATAGAGCGTGCCGGCCGGTAGGTCAGCCGTGTTGGCATCTAATGCGGAAAGATAAGAATGGTTCGGGGTTAGTCCACACAAAAAGACACACGTCACAGAGTGTACATCAATAATGGTGGCACAGCATGGCTCTGTTTAGTAGACAAACGCACGCAGCGGAACAACAAAGGAGCAAACTTGGCCAAAACGGGGTTAGGGTTAGTATGCCTCATGGCTGAGGCGGGGTTCAGCGCGGGATAAACCAACGATTAAAGCAGCTTACGTGCAAGCGATAAATGATGGATGATGTGATGGGTATTCGTGGATGATGACTGGTGACTGGTGACTGGTGACTGTTGGGTGTGGTTGGAGCTTGATGAACCAATAATACTATAACTATAAATAGCCTACATACGTGCTGCTGAAGGACACCTGTAACCAGTAGCGTAGCTAAGTCCATTTCGCCCAATTACAACTAAAACCCAAAACGAAAACAGAGATACACTTGCAAGCCGTGGGATGAGAACAGAGATGGCCGCCAATGTCGATGTCGATGTCAATGTCAATGTTGGATGAGTGGTTCGATGGAGCCTGCTTAGAGTGGATGCCCCTTGCAGCATGCCACACACACCAAACATTCAAATACAATACAAAGTGATCCGCTCTTTAGTTGACAACAAAATTAGACCGAGCCTGAGGCCCGAGCCTGAGTCTGAGCCTAACACTGAGCTTGGGCAGTGTCCCAGTTAGTTTTCTGACCAGACGACACGGCGCACAGCGTTCTTATAAGTGGGATAAGGATGCAGAGAGAGAGATAGTGACAGAGATTTACACAGATATATTAAGAGAGAGAGACAGAGCTAGTAGCTAGAGAGAGAGAGAGAGAGACTGTGGACCCAGTGGACTCGTATTGAGGTTTACTCACCATTGGGCACCTCGTAGATGCGCTCTTCGTCCTCTTCGAACGGATTCTTATTAGCATTATTAACGGTTTGTCTATGAACTAATTGCCTACTGGTCTGATTGCTGACTGTACTTGTATTTGTAACTGTATCTGTATCTTTATCTGTATCTGTATCTGTATCTGTATCTGTTGATGTAACTAAGTGCTTGGTGGAAGTAGTAGTAGTGGTGGTTGTATTGATGCCTATCGCTGGTGCATTACCTAATTTCTTCTGCTTGTGCTCCTCGATTGAGTTGCCGTTATTGGCGGCCGCCTCGGCCGCTGCTTCGGCATTCGTTGTTGTTGTGGGCAGCTCTTTGGGCTGCTTGCCGCCACTGACACTGGCACTGGCACCGCTGCTGTTGATGTTTTCCTTTTCCTTTGCTGGTGCACTAGCACTGCTTGCCGGGGATTGTTGGTTATTGTTGTTGTTGCTGCCATTACCGTTCACCTGGAGGGGTAACACTGCTTCTGCTGCTCCCTCTCCTGCTGCTGTTGTCACTGTCGTTGTCTGTGTGGTGGTTGTGATCTTTGTGTTGGCATTCGGACTACTTAGCTCGGATGTTTCCACTGCTTGGATCGCCACACCATTCACTCCATCCGCCGGCGTTGGACTGCTTGGCACTGGGCTGCTGCTGCTGCTGTTGCGCTGCTTTAAATTTGGCACCGGCGACGGCGACTCCGGCGTTGGTTCTGGCGTTGAAGAAATTGAATCAAATCTCGGCTCTTGCTGGGACGAGCTCGTGGATGTTGCTACATGTTTTCATATTTATAGTTTGTTCATATTTATCGTGTTTTTGTTGTGTGAGGTTTGTACACGTTCGATGTTGTTGTTGTTGAATTGATATTTTGGTTTTGTGTGTAGTTTGGTTTTGTTTGTGGTTAGAGAGAGAGTAGAGCATCATTCCAAACAAAAGATCAAATAAAAAGAGAGAGAATAAATCAAATATAACTCAGGACATGCAGGTTAAAGGGCGCTAAAGGAGCACCAATTGGACAGGAACATGCAACATTCCATTTGGCCACAGTCCGCGCAGCCTGGGCCAGCCCACATACACCAAAAATCATCATGGTAGAGAGATTGGGGGATAAATAACCTATATATAGTATATATAAAGATTAGGACTAGCCCAGGCCGCCGTTGCCAACAATTTTGGTTTGTATTTACAATCGAGAGATCGTCCACAAATGGAATGTTCTTGCCATGCCAAAAGGTTTTTAGTTTCAAACTCAACGAAAAAGTGAACCGAATTAGTTGCCAACAAATTTGAAACAAAGTGCAAACAAATATATCTTATAAATTGCCAAAAACTACTGCGAACTCATCAATCATTGACCGCACAGAGACTATACAGTGCGGTATGGGATAATACAGATATTCTTTCTATATGTTGTGTATGATATTGAGTTCTGTTTAGGGATAACCTTTAATGCAATGAGATTTGTTTTGTTTGTACAGTTTCGAGCAATTTATAATAATTATTTGTTTGGTTGAGCAAAAGAAAAGTATTACAGAAAGGGTATAGAAAACGTGAAAGCAGAGAAACAAACAATAATTCAATAAGTAACAGAGAATAATTAGGGATCAAAGATAGACAGGGAGACAGAGTGGGTGTCGGAGAGTGCAGCCCCTCGAGGGGGGATGGACTTACGGCTGTTCGCCAGACTGGAGCCCCCATTTGTGGTAATTTGATTCTGGTAGTTGGTGCTGTTGATGCTGGCGTTGTTCAGCTTGTTCACCGGCGACTGCACTGGACTCGACGTCTTGATGGCATTGCCTGTGCGGGAGCGGGAGTAAACGAAGCAGTAGTCAGCAAGCAGTGAGCAAGCAGTGGTTCGTTCTATGCATGTGTGCGTGAGTGCACAACTTACTTGTTTGTTTGCGGAGCGTGTTAGAGCCGCGCTGCGATTCTGTGGCCAGTTTGTCAACAATCGCCTCCAGTTCCGAGTATATCTGTACGGGTAGAAGGCACGTTTAAAACGTTTCTAGTTTCGAGTTAAACTCCGCATTAGGTCTGGGACACACACCTTGGAAGTTTCGTTGTGGAAGACCTGCTCGGTGGCAAAGAGCGTCTGCAAGTTGGTCACCAGAAACAATATTCTAGAGTCGTACAGGGCAGGCAGCTCGTCGTGCAGTTCCGTATTGAGGATCTCGTAGGTGCGTCGGGCCTCCTCGAGCTGCTCGCGTCCCTTGGTCAGCTGCTGGATGCAGAGAATATTAACAAAGATCAGTCGCCCAGCATCCGCCACCATCTATCTACCCACCTTGACGTCGTCTTTGCGTTTGTTGGCATTGGCCTGGAGATTTTGGAACGAATGGCGCTGGCCATCGTAGTCAATCAGCTTTCTGTTGCGCTTCTCAACTTTTTTCTGCACCAAAATCAAACATAAT